GCTCAGCTCTGGTAATTGTAGCCATTTGAGGAGTGAACCAGCAGATGGAAGACCACTCTCCCTCTCTCTCTGTCTCTAAATCTCTCAGTAACTTTTTTTTTTTTTTTTGACAGGCAGAGTTAGACAGTGAGAGAGACAGAGAAAGGTCTTGCTTCTGTTGGTTCACCTCCCAAATGTCCCAAATGGCCGCTACGGCCAGCACGCTATGCCGATCCGAAGCCAGGAGCCAGGTGCTTCCTCCTGGTCTCCCATGCGGGTGCAGGGCCCAAGCACTTGGGCCATCCTCCACTGCCTTCCTGGGCCACAGCAGAGAGCTGACCTGGAAGAGGAGCAACCGGGACAGAATCTGGCGCCCCAACCAGGACTAGAACCCGGGGTACCGGCGCCACAGGTGGAGGATTAGCCTGGTGAGCCACAGCGCCGGCCCCCTCTCTCAGTAACTCTTACAAATAAATAAATTAAAAACAAAAAAGAGCTCATAACTTTCATAATATATTTATAGGGTGGGTGCTGTGTTGCAGCAGGTTAAGATGCGCTTTGGGACACCCACATCCCATAGGGGAGTGCCTGAGACAGAGTCCTGCTTCTGCTTCTTCAGGTCCAGCTTCCAGCTAAGGTACATCCTGGGAGATAGCAGATGATGGCTCAAGCAGTTGGATCCTTGCCACCCATATGAGAGACCTGGATGGCGTTCCAAGCTCCTGGCTTTGGCCTGGCCCCACTCTGGGGGGGACAGAAGACCTCTGTTTCTTTCTCTTTCAAATAAAAAAAACTTTAAAAAATCTATTTTTAAATGGACATTCCAGGGAGAGCACAATCCTTTAGGCGATTCTGGATTAACCAAGGGGGTTTATTCTTGATGGCTCCTTGGCAATAGCTGAGGCACCTCATTTCTCAGCTAGGCCTCAGACCACCTGCCCTGGCCCCAGTCAGCGGGAAAGGAAAGCTAAGCCAAGTGGGCAGTGTGAAGTTCAGCATTCAGGCAGTGTTGCAGCTGGTCCCGCTGTGACCTTATGCTGCAGGTGAACACGGCCAACTCCTCCAAAGCCAGAGTCCTACACAGACCACGTCAGTCCTCCTGGGTCCTGTGACTCCATGCTGGGGCTGGACTGGCAGGACGCTAATCCCCCCCAGCCTGCATCTCCACACTGGCCACTGGGAGACACTTCTCCTGCCAAATCCCACCCAATCCCCTAATCCCCCACCCCAGTAAATCCTTCTGTCCCCCGACTCCTCAACAACCATGACTTGCTGTCGGGACGACCGGTTCTGTCTGCTGCCCGTCTCCTGAAACTCCTACTGTCTATGCTTCCACCGCTGCTCTTGGAACATGCCCCTGAGGCCTGCACACTCCTGGTCTCTTGGTCCTAGCCAGGCCAACCCGTGCCTGCTTGATCCAGCCTTCCACCTTCTCTCCACATAAAGCCAGTAATTAATGCAACTGGGCATAGGGTATGCCACTGAGGTGACAGAAATACTCTCCAGCCAATTTTTTTTTTTTTTTGACAGGCAGAGTTAGAGAGAGAGAGAGAGAGAGAGAGAGAAAGGTCTTCCTTTTCCGTTGGTTCATCCCCCAAATGGCCGCTACAGCCAACGCACTGTGCCGATCTGAAGCCAGGAGCTAGGTGCTTCCTCCTAGTCTCCCATGCGGGTGCAGGGCACAAGCACTTGGGCCTTCCTCCACTGCACTCCCAGGCCACAGCAGAGAGCTGGCCTGGAAGAGGGGCAACCGAGACAGAATCTTGTGCCCGACCGGGACTAGAACCCGGTGTGCCGGCGCCGCAGGCAGAGGATTAGCCTAGTGAGCCGCGGCCCCGGCCCTCTCCAGCCAATTGTAATGATGGTCATACAATCCTGTAACCATGCTGAAAATCTCTAGGTTGTACACTTAAAAAAAAGTGGGGGTGGGGGTGGGGGTGATGGGTGTTCGTTCTACTGGTTGCTGCTGCTAGGGAAACCCACATTAGGTACTGAAGCAATTGGCCCCAAGTTCCGGCTGTGCTTCAGTCCAGATTCCTGCGAATGTGCATCCCAGGAAGCCCAGTCTGAGTACCTGCCTCCCAGCCTCAGCCTCCACCAGCCCCAGCTGTTGCAGGCATTTGGGGAGTGGACCAGTGGATGGGAGATTTCTCTTTGTCTCAAAAAAACTTTTTTAAAGTCAACCCATCCCTCCTCTGCCCACAACCCTCTCCCACGGCCCTCCAGGATCTGAGCTCACTGCCTCCCTGCTCCTTGCCACGTCTCCCAGCCAGGCGCACTGCCTCCTGGGTGTTACTCAAGCTCCGGTGGGGGCCTCTGAGACTGCTGCTTCCTCAATGAGCATGTTCTTCCTCCAGGAGCCGCAGGGCTCCTTCCACACTTCCTTCAGGTCTCTGCTCTGAAGTCACCATCACCGGGCTTCCCTCTGTGAAATCACGCTCCAGCCTGGACACGTGCGCTCTGCCACTTCCTGTGCTCCTACCCTGTCTCACAGTCACCACCAGCGGCTGCATGCCACACTTGCGCTTCTTCGCTGTTTTCTTATTAGGAGGAAAGCTCCATATGGGACCAGTCTTTGTTTTGTTCACTAGGGTTTCTTGGTGCCTAGAAAACAATCAGCACTCAACAGACAAGGAAATGTTGGGTGAATGGATGACCAGTCCAAGTGTGAACTGTTCTTGATTCCAGGAAGGGCACAACTGACGCGCTAATGCATTTTTGTTTAATTACGACAGGATACACTCTGACAGAGAATTAACGAAATCCACGTCATCAGAAAATCAATGTTATTCTTCACACACACACACACACACAAAGCTGGTCTTGTCTTGGTATTCTGAAATATTGAGAGAAAGAAACAAAGAAAGAAAAAAATCTGAACAACTTGGAAAAAGGAAGGTTAGGTATAACCTAAATGGCTAGATTGGAAATGCAGGTAAAATGATCCAATTCAAAGCTTCCTTGTAAAGATACACTACAGAAATTTCCCAAGCAATGATTCTGCCATAATGAGTTGGCATAAACTCAAGTAACCTCTTTTGTCAGACGAAAATAGAAACCATACCAGAATCAGGAAGAATGAAATTCATATTAAGTAAGTTGCAGTGTCTGAAACAGGATCAAACTTCACGCACCTATGACACCATCAGTCTAGCTGAAGATCAGACACGGCGGGGAGGCTGTTCCCCACCCTACTGCGGTCAGCCTGAGCTTGAGGCTGGGGCCCACACATGGTTACGCCCCCAGCCCAGAGCCTGCATTTGGCTGCATGTGTGTGTTGATGGATGAATGAATGACAGCCGGTATGGACGTCTTCAATGCCCACGCCTACACGCTATGGTGTGAATACGGCCTGAGCGACCCCGAGGTCGCGTGTGAGCAAATATAATCCCCACTGAGAAAGAGGTGCTGTCAGAGCAGAAACTTAATCAGACTCTGCCATTCAGCAGCGGGGCCTCTGGGAGCAGATGAGGATTAAGGCCATCAGGGCAGAGCCTCCACCAGTACCGGCAGCTTACGAAGAGGCAGTGAGACACAAGAAAGCTCCTGTCCCTGGCCATGTCAGGCCCAGTGCCACCCTGGGATTCTGCCAGCAAGGTCATCATCACCAGACGTGGATCTGCAACCACAGATCCCCAAGACTGCACGCCCCAAAAGACCTCTCTATAAATACCCAGTCCCAGTTACTTCATCACCAAATCAGACTAAGCTACCACAGGGGTCATCATAAATCCAACTACTAGTTGTAGTTCAGTATTTTCAGAACAAATTGTGAAAGCAAGCCTTTCCCACAGCTATAGAGTCTACTATGACATTAAACCATCATCCTGAATCCACATACCTTTTCTAAAAAAAAAAAAGAAAAAAGGGAATGAAAGATAAACAAAGCAGAATATTCAGTTCCAAAGTGTCCCCTGACATGTGACTTTGACTTATGAAAGGATTCATGTGCCCATACAAAGCAGAGATCTGATAGACACCAAATGATCAGTCAGCATTACCAGAAAAGGTGACTGACTCCAAAAAAATTGGCCTGGACTCTTCAAGCTCAAGAAAGTGAAAGCAAAAATGGAGGAACTGTTCTAGGCTAAATGAGACTAAAGAGACAAGATGGCTCAGTGGGATCCTTGATTACATCCTGCAAATTCACACACTCGCCACAGGAAAGCTCTTTGGACAACTAGGGGAAAGTAAATAAGACCTACACATTGGACAACATTCTATCATTGCTAGAGTTCTTGAGTGATGACGGCTTTGTGGCTAGGGTAGAAAATGTCCTCCTTTGAGAAGACTACATGCTGAAGTCCCAGGCGGCAAGAGCTGGGACTTCCAAACTTCCTGTCAAACATTTCTGCAGAAAGTTCAAGTATGGTGTGCATGCATAGGACCACGCACAAGCAAGTGACTGTAGTCACCAGCTGCCTACCACAGTGCGGCCAACGGCCAGGGCAGGTGTATGGGCTCCCTGGCGGTGCTGTAGCTGCCTGTCTGTCCGAGTAGACTCCATGGTGTTTCTACCAGATGAATCACTTGGGCACGTCTCAGAGCACACCCCACGTTAAGTGACATAGGACTGTATCTGGACAATCACAACATTAGTGAACCTCAGAAAAGGGCACACGGGTATCTGTCGTACTGTTCTTTCAAAGCACAAACAAGATGGAACCTAATCTCACGCGGGGTGGGGGTGGGGCGTGGCTCCTCCACACTCAACGCTTCATTGTTCACTAGGATCTCCAGCATGCCAGGTACTTCCGCTCTGCCTGTCGCCTGCGATCCTGGGGCCGCTTGCACAGACCCTGGCTGCCAGGTTCTCCGTTTAGGCGAGGTCACATCTGCATCTGACCCCACACCGCTCATTATGGTACCAACCACTTCACAAACCTGCTCGGGGACATCATCAGGCAGGTAACACACAGCAGGTCCCAGGTGTCCACTGCACGGCGCCTGGCAGTCCCTGCCCATCCTCCTTCCCGGGGCACGGGCTCGCGGCCCGGTCTCCTGGGTCTCCCGCTGTTTACCGAGCCAGGACCGCTCCGCTGCGATGCAGGGCCCGGGTCTCGGCTTCCATCACCACCACCGAGTGCTTCCCGCGGCGCCCTGCCCTCGAGGCCTCCGTTCATCCTCCCAGGGGAGGGAGTTTCTCCTCCACCTGCTCCCCCCCATTCTGAGAGCCCCAAGTGCTACCGTGCACGACAGCTTCCAAAATCCCTTCCGCCGGGCCCAGCAGAAGCTGTGGCGCGGGCGTACAGAGTTGAACGCAAGCCCGTCAAAGCCCCCGACCGCGTGGGTGGGAAAGGCAACAGGTGCCAGTTCCTAGAAAGAGCAAACGGCAGAAAACTCCCGCGGCGGAGACGCAGGGGGACCGCCGCGGCCCAGGTCCCACGCGCAGGCGGCCAGGCGCTAGCCCACGCCCCACACCCCACGCAAGGCGGGCTCGGCCCGGGGCCACGCTGGGCCCCGCGAGGTCCGGAGACTCCAGAGGGCCACACTGGCCCGGTTCCTGGGTCCCCCTGCGGCCGCGCCTTCGACCCGCCCTCAGCGAGAGCCGGGGGAAGGGGCTCTCGAGTGCGGAAGCGGCACCCTCCTTCCCGGAGACGAGCAGCGCCCATCCGGCCGGCGGAGCTGCTCGCCCGGCCTGGACTCGGGGGTCGCCCCCCTCGAGCCGGCGGCGGCGGCGGCGGCGGCGGCGGGAGCGCAGCGCGCAGGCGCGGGCCGGGGCGGGGCCGTACCTGGGAAGGAGCACAGCGAAGTGGAGTTGGGGCACAGGGTCCCGTTGCCCACCCGCGGCACGAGCTTCAGGCTGAGGATCTGCTGCAGGAGCCCGGCCGAGCCCCCGCTGCTGCCGCCGCTCCCCTCGCGCTCCATCCCGCCGCCATTCACCACACACACAGGCGGGGAGGGCGCCCGAAGTGCCGCGGAGGTTCGCTCCCGCACCTCCGTCGCCTCAGCGTCACCTTCGGCCGCGGCCTTTTCCTTCCTCCCACCCCCAACGGCGCGGCCAAAGGATAGTTCCTCCCTCCAATCACAGGGCGCCGCAGATGTGAGGGGCGGGGCGAGGGTTGTTCCCGCCTCTGACGTTGCGTGTGACTGAGGCTACGCCCCCTAATGGAGAAGTCTTTTCTGTTCAAGTAGGGAGAACTCTGCTGTGCGCTTCTCTGCGGCGCCCCCTGTCAGAAAGCGAAGGGATTGCATATGCGCCACCATACCAGAGATGTAGCTTTAAAACCGGGCGGCCACAGATCGCAACAGATTTGTAACGTTGTTGTAGCTAACCAGGACTGGACACCAGTATTTATGAAAGGCTTGTGAACAGATCATTAAAGCTGAGAGTAGTCAGGCTGCAGTTGTGACTCAGTGAGGCATCTCATATAGGAGTGCCCTTCCAGTCTCCCCTGCTCAGCTTGTGATCCAGCTTCCTGCTAATGCACCCGGGACAACAGCAGATGAAGACCCGGGTGCCTCGACCTGCCACTGCCAGGGCCGACCAGGGTGGAGTTTCTGGCCTCTGGCTTCAGTCTGGCCCAGATCTGGCTGCTGCGTCCGTGTGGGGAGTGAAAGAGCAGATGGAAGATCTCTCTGTTTCCCTGTAGCTCTGTCTCTCTGCCTTTCAAATAAATATAAATAAAATTTTTTTTTTAAATAAAGCCGACTGTAGAGAGATTATATTCAAATGCAGGCATGGCACTTGGCTGGGAGATTGCACTCCTGTATATTTGTCCCTATACAATGCCAAGAGAAAAAAGCTAGGCGTTAATGACCAAATATTGTATGTTCCCATTTGTCTGAAAAGTCTAGAAAAGACACAGATCTTCAGAAACAGAAGGAAGACCAGACTTTGCCCAGGGCTGGCAGAGGGAATGAGAAGCGACTAACAATGCATAGGGATCCTTTTTGGAATGATGGAAGTCTCCTAAAACTAGATTGTGCTGATGGTTGCACAATTCTGAAAATTTACTAAAAATCATTTCATTGTACACTTAAATGAATGTTATGCTACATCCACTCAGCCTTCTAGAAACTTTCTTAAAAAAATGACCAGTAGCCTACTCAAATTTCTGTTTGAGTTATTTGGGGCATCCAGAATGTCACTTTAATAACTATAACAGTCATCTTGGCTTTCTACCCTTAAACATAAATTTCAAATCTTTTTTTTTTTTTTTTTTTTACTTAAGAGGGAAAAAGAACACAAGACTTGAAAACTGGCCCAGGGACTTAGTAAGTCATTAATTAAAGCCAAAACTTTCCATCATTTGAGTTGAAATTAAAAGATCCCCATGATTTTCAGATATTTTCCAGTGCAGCCAGACTTCCTGTCGGCGTCTCAGGCTCTGGAAGGCTCCCTGGGCACGTGGTGGAGTGATTTCGTGCTGACAGTCTTTTTCCATTAACTACCCTGTATCTAAGGCCAGGCACACCCTGGAAATAAACGCTGTTACTCAACTTAAAGAAAAAAGACAAAAGAGAAGAAAGTATCAAGAAAAAGAACCACAAACATCTTCAGAGAGAAGCTATTGGTCACCAACAAGGCAAGGACCATCAGACAGTTTGACTGCAAGTAAAGGAGCTTGGAAGACAATGGACCAATACCTTCGATATTTGGAGGGAAAGTGACTTTTTTGAAAGCCAAATTTATTTTAAAATTAAAAATCATTGTGGGGCCAGCGCTGTGGCATAGTCGGTTAAGCCTCTACCTGCAGCACTGGTTGGAGTCCCATCTGCCCCACTTCCAATCCAGCTCTCTGCTAATGGCCTGGGAAAGCAGTAGAAGATGGCCCAAGTGCTTGGAGCCCTGCACCCATGCAGGAGACCCGGAAGAAATTCCTGGCCCAGATGGGTCCAACTCTGGCTTCAGATGGGCCCAACTCTGCTGTTGCGGCCATTTGGAGAGTGAACCAGTGGATGCAAGACCTCTCTCTTGGTCTCTCTCTCTCTGTCTGTAACTCTGCCTCTCAAATGAACAAATAAATCTTTAAAAAATAAAAAATAAGCATAAAAAACCAGTAGCTTTTTTAAAAAAAGCATTATGTACAAAATACATGATTAGAGCTCCCTTCTGAAGGTTTCATTTAAGAAAATTCTAATGCCAGTTCCCTCAACCCTATAACCAAGAAACTTACTAGAACAGAAATGCTAAGTAGAAAAAAGGTTAGGAAATATTTAACAGTGATGTCTTTTCAATACATTGGCCAGACTGGCAGAGTCTTAGAAATGGAAGAAAGCAATTATAATACTCGATAGTGAGTCACATGTGGAAATTTATTTTAAATTTAGAATCCCATCCCCTGTCAAATTATGAACTGAGAGGTTAAAAGAAGGACACTTAGACCTGCAGGACTCTGAAAATGTAGTTTCATATGCCCTTTTTAAGAAGCTGAGGATGGGGCTGGTGCTGTGACATAGTGGGTAAAGCCACCACCTGCAGTGCTGGCAGCAGCAGAAGATGATGGCCCAAGTGCTTAGACTCCCTCGTCCCTGTGCCCACATGGCAGACCGAGAGGAAGCTCCTAGCTCCTGGCTTCTTGTGGCCATTTGGGAAGTGAACTAGCGGATGGAGATATCACTGTCTCTGTCTCTGCCTCTCTGTAACTCTTCCTTTCAAATAAATAAATAAATCTGAAAAAAAAAAAAAAAAGAATAGCTGAGAATGCAGATGCTTCAAAAAGTTTTTGGAAAACCAGAATTTCAAGCATGAATTTGGGGCTGGCACTGTGGCGCAGCATGTTAACGCCCTGGCTGTAAGCACTGGCATCCCATATGGGCGCCAGTTCGAGTCCCGGCTGCTCCTCTTCCAATCCAGCTCTCTGCTGTGGCCTGGGAAAGCAGTGGAAGATGGCCCAAGTGCTTGGGCCACTGTACTCACATGGATTGGCGCAGCTCCAGCCTTTGTGGCCATCTGGGGAGTGAATCAGCAGATGAAAGACCTCTCTCTCTCTGTCTCTACCTCTCTCTGTAACTGTCTTACTTTTTTTTTTTTTTGACAGGCAGAATGGATAGTGAGAGAGAGAGAGACAGAGAGAAAGGTCTTCCTTTTTGCCGTTGGTTCACCCTCCAATGGCCACCATGGCTAGCGCGCTGCAGCCGGCACACCGCGCTGATCCGAAGGAGGAGCCAGGTGCTTCTCCTGGTCCCCCATGCGGGTGCAGGGCCCAAGCACCTGGGCCATCCTCCACTGCACTCCCTGGCCACAGCAGAGAGCTGGCCTGGAAGAGGGGCAACCGGGACAGAATCCGACACCCCGACCTGGACTAGAACCCGGTGTGCCGGCGCTGCTAGGTGGAGGATTAGCCTATTGAGCCGCGGCGCCGGCCAACTGTCTTTCAATAAATAAAATAAATCTTAAAAAAAAGCATGAATTTATTTCAGTGCCATTTTTAAAAAATCCATGCTTAGTTTCTTCACGATACATGTTTTTCATGTATCATGAAGAAAAAGTTTTGCACTAGAAAGTGTTTTGGGGGCAGCACGGTGGCTCAGCAAGTTGAGCTGCGGCCTGGAACGCTGACATCCGTACATAAAGTGCTGCTTTGAGTCCTGGATGCTTCGCTTGCAGTCCAGCTCCCTGCTGATGTGCCTGGGAAGGTGGCAGAAGTTGGTGGGAGTGCTTGGGCCCTGCCACCCACGTGGGAGACCTAGATGGAGTTCCAGGCTCCTGGTCCAACTCCAGGTATCACAGCCATTTGGGGAGTGTAACCAACAGATGGAAGAGTGAGCTCGCACGCACGTGTGAACACACACACACTCTCTCCCCCTTTCAAATAAATAAATAAATATTTAAAAAATGTTTTCACAGGGGCCAGCGCTGTGGTGTAGCAGATAATAGCTGCCACCTGAAGCGCTGGCATCCCGTATGGGCGCCGGGTCGAGTCCCGGCTGCTCTACTTCTGATCCAGCTCTCTGCTATGGCCTTGGAAAGCAGTAGAAGATGGCCCAAGTCCTTGGGCCCCTGCACCCACGTGGGAGACCCGGAAGAAGCTCCTGGCTCCTGGCTTCAGATCGGCCCAGCTCCAGTTATTGCGGTCAGTTAGGGAGTGAACCAGCAGATGGAAGACCTCTCTCTCTCTCTTTCTCTCTCTCTCTCTGCCTCTCCTCTCTCTGTGTAACTCTGACTTTCAAATAAATAAATACATCTTAAAAAAAGAAAAAGAGTAGTGACCAAGAAAGAGAAAGATATGTGGGACAAGACACGGTGCAGAAAAAGAAAGAAATGTGCGAGGAGCCAGGGTGTCAGACTGACTTCTGCAATGGGCCTAGCAGCCACCAATTCGGATTATGACAGAAGGAAGCACAATGAAATTCTTTCAAGCTACAGACAAAACAGTTAGGAAGTTCAACCTTACAATGACAGAAGGCGAAGATACTTCTTTCTTCTCAAAAATGGGAAAACTCCGCCTAGCAGCGCCGGCACACCGGGTTCTAGTCCCGGTCGGGGCGCCGGATTCTGTCCCGGTTGCCCCTCTTCCAGGCCAGCTCTCTGCTGTGGCCAGGGAGTGCAGTGGAGGATGGCCCAGGTGCTTGGGCCCTGCACCCCATGGGAGACCAGGAGAAGCACCTGGCTCCTGGCTTCTGCCACCGGATCAGTGCGGTGCGCCGGCCGCAGCGCGCCGGCCGCAGCGGCCATTGGAGGGTGAACCAACGGCAAAAGGAAGACCTTTCTCTCTGTCTCTCTCTCACACTGTCCACTCTGCCTGTCAAAAAAAAAAAAAAGGGGGGGGGGAATAAAAGGCAACACAGACTCCAAGGAAAGCACAAAGCTGTAAGGAGTGCACAGAACAAACGATGAAGCACAACCTGGTGTGCTTTGTTCTAGAAACCGTTCCCCAGCCTCACTTACTTCACTTATAGGGAGATGCAGGAGTAAAAAATGTTCAGAATGCAGTGCAGACCATGTTGATGATCTCTGGATGGTGTAGCTAGGAACTGAGAGGTTAAAAGAAAGACACTCAGACCTGCAGCACTTAACTAGATCCAAAAGGCACAGCAGGAAAGGATTAATAAATTTAACTTCCTTAAATAGATAACTGACATCACCACCCTGGGATGCCATTGAAGGAAGCTGCTCGCAGTCCAGACCTTGCGCTCTCGGGCAAACGTCCTCACGCATCCGTACCAGGAGGCGCACCCAGATCGCTCCTTGTACCACTGTCACAGCCAGGAGCTCAGAACACACAGCGTCCTTCAAGGGAGAAGGAACCAGTAAAAGCCTGCTGCAACTTTCCCCAGAATACCACCATGCAATGCATAAATGAACCAAAGCTGACCGGCAGTCAAATGAGCCCCGGAATGCCACGTTGAGGGGGAAGCTAAGTTTAGGAGGCCGGAGAATGCATCCACGTGAGTCAAGCCCCAAACCTGGCAAAATTCACAAGATACCCGCTCAGGATATTCACACATGCAGTAACATTGTAACGAGGTCTGTAACTGGGCACTTTTCTATTAATTTGTTTAAAGATTTATTTATTTATTTAGAGAGAAAGAGTTACGGGGGAGAGACAGAGAGAACCCATCAGCTGGGTCACTCTCCAAACGTCTGCAACAGCATGTGCTTGTCTAAGATATTCTATTTATGAGTATTTATTCAACTAAGGGACAGCAGAGGATGAGTGGCCTTGGACACCTTCCAGCTCACTCCAAGGCCTCCGAAGCCTTCCATACCTGCTGACCTAACACTGTGTGTGGCCCATGGCTCCACTGGCCCCTTGGTGTTCTCCCAGAGAATTCCTGTATTGACTGCTTCCTTCTCCTGGCCTCACTGCCCAGAGTTCCCCTTCATTAACTCCTTCACCTCCTTGGAGACTTTGTGCGAACATTGCTTTCTGAATGAACCCTGGCCTGACGACAAATACCCCAGATAAACCTACCCCTACACGTACAAAGCCTCTATCCCTGCGGCCCTTCTCTACCGCTCTCACTAGCACTAACACTCCATACACTTGACCTAGTTATTAAATTCATTACTCACTGGCTGTCTCCACACCCTCAGAAGGGCAAGAGTTTTCCTCTTCTATCGGTCGCGTTCGCTATTCTGTTTCCCGCACCTACAGGAACCTGATGCCTGGTTGGTACTGAATCCCTAATGTGGGGTGACTGAATGAGCGCAGTTCTTAAAGACTGGGATTAGAATAACACGGAAACTGCAAAGCCAGCTTCTTCAGTCTTACCTGAAAGAAAACACTGGATGGACTCAAAGGACTTGGCAGCCTGGGGAAACGTGCAATTGGTTAATCCCTCCCATTTCAGCAGGACACCCAGCCTAGCAAGGCGCTTCCTCTCGTTGTTGATCTGAATAGAGTGATTGACAGAATGCAGACTCACCCTGTGAAGGGCTATTTGTGTGGTGGAACAATCTGGTGGGAGAAGGTGGTGTTTAAGTCCAAACAAATTAACTTGCGAAGGTAGGGGAGATAACGCATTCAACTTGAGCAGAGAGATCATGACCTAGGACTTGAAGACACGGCCCAGCTGAGCCCCTGCTGTGGGACAGTCACGCGGGGCTGAGTGTGATGAATGTGATGATTCAGTCGAGGGCACTAGGGCAGCCTAGTACCTGCAAAGACGAGGGCGATCAATGCAGCCTCTGCCCGGTCAGCAGTCCTGATTTCTTTGACCACAGATCCGCACGCAAGAACGCCAAGCTACTAAGGTACTGGAAGCAAATGCGAAGGCTGTTTTACCATCTCGAGGAGGACGAATTCTTCCAACAAGACACAAACTCCAGAAGCCAGAAGGAAATAATTCACATTTAATGCTATAATAATTAGGGCAAAACCTTTGGGGATGATTGTGTGACCCGATTTTACAGGTGTATGCATATACCCAAATGAATTAAATTCTACACACTAAATATATGTGGATATCATCTATCAGTTACATTTCAATAAATACAATTTTTTTAAAAAAGAAGTTTTACAGAGAAAACACCCTACAGTGGGTTCAAAAACAAATGAGATTAGAGAAACTAAAATAGTAAAGCATAATCAAAAAAGGGATCAGTAATTGAACAGAAAAATGGCCAACGTCCTTGAATAAAGAGAAAGGAATGCAGGTGATTAATAAACATGAAAAGATGCCCAACTGCCATAGGAATTGAATAAATGCAAATTTAGGAACAGGAAAATACCACTCTTCACTCATAAGCTAAGTAAAAATGAAAGCCATCGATTTAGCCACGTGCAGGTGGTGTTGGCTGGGGGAGCATTTGGCAAGAGCGGGTGAACAGCATTCCTGACCCTGTCCCAGAGAGTTCTCTTGCTTTGAGAGTGCTTTGGCAGATTCCTATCTGGAACATGGAGACTCTTCAGCCCAGCAATTCTACTTTTAGGAATTTTACAGACACAACTGGGCCACCTCCTTGGGTCTTTTTCTAACACATGAGCCTGGACTCCCAGGATCAAGTCTCTTGCTTTGCCAAGAAGCCTTTCTGTTCTAAAGGAGAGTGCAGGCTTCCTGCGTCAAGACCCCGTTCTTGCTGTTCTCTGCCTCTGCCTCTTTGTCCTGCGCTTGATTAACTCCCGTTCATCGTCATTTGTTCAAACCATGGTTTCCCTGCAGAGAGAGCTTGCTTGCCTCCCCATTCTACAGTGCGTTGCCCTCCGCCATCACCCCTGTTTCCTGAAGGCACAATCAACACTTATCAAGTGCATGCTTATCTGTGGGATGATTGATGTAGGGGCTCCCACAGCAGCCATGTCCCCGATTGTGTCCCTGGGGCCTGGCACTGGGCTGACACATGGAAACTCGCAACTGATCTCTTAAATCGGGAGGAACAATTCTTCCCTGAGCTGTGGCAAGATTCTCATGGATCCATGCACAAGAAACAGACGCGGAGAAGTGGTCAATGTTATCTGAATGTCGGTAACCGAGAGAGAAGACAAGTTCTGCCCACGCAGCACGTGCTCTGGGCTATGTGATGGGAAGTCTCTATGTCTGACTTTCTTCTCACATAGGCTAAAGGCTGAGAGTGGCTCGGAATTTGAAGGCATAGAAGCAATCGCACAGGCAAACTTCTGTGGGTTCTTTGTGCTTCCAAAGTGTGGAGACATGAAGTGGAGTGCTCCTCTCCAGTAGTCCACTCTAGTGAGATTTGGATATAGAAATATCCTAAGGCAAGGAGGGTTTAAAAATGCAATGACAGGGGGCGAGCATTTGGCCCAGCAGTTAAGTTATGTACGTCCCACACCAGAGTGTCGGATGCGACTCCAGGCTCTAGTTCCTAACCCCAGCTTCCTGGAGCTGCTAGTGCAGACTCTGGGGTGCTGCAGGTGATGACTCAATAACCCGGCTCCTGCCACCCACATGAAAGACCCAGATTGAGTTTCTGGCTCCTGGCTTGGGGCTCAGCTAGGGTCCATCGTGGGCATTTGGGGAGTCATCAGAGGATGGGAACTCTGTATGTGTGTCTCTGTCTCTCTGCCTCTTAAATAAACAAATAAAAATGTTTTAAGAAAGGAACAAGAATGGAGTGTCAACCCTGCACTGTCCAATACAGTCACCAGCCACTTGTGGCCACTGAGTGCCAGAAATAAGGCTGGTCTGAATGGAGACCTGCTGTCAGTGTGGCACGCTCACTGGATTTTGAAGACTAAGATGTATCATTAATTTTTATATTGATTACATGTTAAAATCATAGTATAGAGGTAAGCAGAATATTATGGCTAAAATGATTTTTAGTTGTTGCTTTTTTGTTTGTTTTTTTAAAAGATTTATTTATTTATTTTAAAGGCAGAGCTACAGAGAGCCAGCAAGAGGCAGAGAGAGAGAGAGAGAGAGAGAGAGGTCGGTCTTCCATCCACTGGTTCACTCCCCAGTGCAACGGCCAGAGCTGTGCCGATCTGAAGCCAGGAGTTTCTTCCATGTCTCATGTGGGAGCAGGGGCCCAAGGACTTGGGTCATCTTCCACTGCTTTCCCAGGCCATAGCAGAGAGCTAGATCCGAAGTGGAGCAGCTGGAACTCAAACTGGCGCCCATATGGGATGCCAGCACTGAAGGCGGCGGCTTTACCCGCTACGCCACAGCGCTGGTCCCTACCTGTTTCTTTTAATTTCGTTTTTAAAATTCTACTGATATATTATGTTCTGGGAGTTAAGAAACACATTACTTTTTTGTCTTAAAATATGTGTTATTCATGAGACTTACTTGTCTTTCTAGGTATGGTATTGGTTGATTTAAATATTAGGTAGTTATGTCAGTGGAGGCTGGAACATCTATCCTCTACAAAGCTGAAACTCGAAGTCTGTGGAAGAACGGACAACAAAATAAAACACATGAAGCAGAGTTGATTCTTTCGAAAAACAAAGCGCTGCACCTCCTCTCAAGAGCTGGAGGCCATTTCTCCATCTGAGTCCGGGCCGGCCCTGTGACTTGCTCTGGCCAGGAGAACGTGGCAGAGTGGCAGGTGCCCATTGGTCTCCGGGCTGGTGAGAGGCTGGCTGCTCGGGGTCAGCCTGGAGGGGACAGCTCGATGAAACAGCTGCTGTGTTTGTTTCCCTGTCACAGGCAGGGGTCCCAAGAGATGGGCAAGCATGCAGCCTCTCTTGAGGTTGAAGGAAATCAGGTTGTGTCACCCCAAAATGGGCCTCTTTGACATAAACATCATGTTCCACCGAAGGCGATTAAGAAGTCGCCAATGCCAGGAAAGCTGTCTCCGCCCTCCCCCTCGTCTGTCTAGAGGTAGGATATAAATTCTCCTTTGCTGCAGGCATCGCTAAATCTCATCAGCCCCAGAGAGGACCCCAGGGGAATCTGCAGACAAGCTTTTCTCCGCTAATGTCCTCTCATAGATTCACCTTGCACGGCTTCCCACCCTTAAAAGCCTAAAACCACTTTGCTCCGCCCGCTCCTTTCTCTGTAAACGTATTGTTCTCCTCAAAGATGCTGTGTAAGCTGGCGGGCAAAGCCACGGCTTTGAGTTACTTGTCACTGCCGCTTCCCAGGATTTCTTACTGCTGGCATCGCCAGCTTGCTTTCTCTGGCCATCTGGTTAAAGAGCACAGGTTGAAACCCTAAGGTGGGTACAAAGAGACTGTTGCCTTCCCTACAAGACCTAGCCCAGAGAAGCTGCCACACTGGCCCCTGAGCTATGTTCTCCGGGCCAAAGCAAGTCATAAGGTCCAGCCCAGATCCAGAGGTGGGGACACAGCCTCCACTGCTGATGGCTGCAGCTGGGGTCAACAGCAAAGGGTGGCTACAGAGAGCCATCAGTTGTGGCCATCAACACAGCCATGCCCGCTCCAACCTAGAAAGTTCTGCCCCTACCAGGACCGAGCAGTGGTCAGCGACATGGCCTTTGTGTCATGACTGCGGCCTTGCACAGCCACAAGGCCCGTGTCTTGTATCTGCCTCCCCCGAGCTCTACCTTGACTTTGTGGTTTCCAGTCAGCCAGGCCAGCCTCTGTCTGTCCTGAACCTGATCGGAGTCCTACCTCAAGGATCCCTGGAGTCCAGTGTGCCAGGAGACTCATCCTGAGGCTTGCCCCAGGTGCTGGATGTGAGGCAGAGCCGCCTGGGTTCCCCAAGGCTTGCCTGTAGTGTCCGAGGTGCACAGAGCCCAGGGCTGCCCCAAATTAAGGGGCCAGTCAAGACTGCCTGGCATGGTGGGAGTCACAGAGCAAAAGACGTAGACAGAGAAGCCACTCATTGTGGTCAATCTGTGACCTGAGTAGGAGCAAGTGAAACCTGTGGGATGCCCCTCCCAGGCTCTGAGCCCTCATCAAAGCTCCCACCAGGGAGCAGCACCCCCGATCCTAGCCTCTGGCATCATGAACCACTTGCTCATCCTTCTTTGGCTAAATGTGCTGCATGGACTGGGACCCTTGGCTGATACTTGCACTTGACCGTCAACGCCTTCCAGGAGCGGCCAGTAGGTTGCTTGCTTTTATCCCTGGTGGCCACCACAGAGTAGTCTGGGGAGGGGCATGCAGGCAAGAAAGTGCAAGCAGCAGGGGTCCAAATGCCCCAGTCAGTGGCCGCCATGTCCCTTCACATCTGGTTCTTGAGGTGTTCACAGCCAAATGCCAGGTTGACTCTATGGTCCCTTGCAACCCGTGTCATTGTCAGGGGCAAGTGATCCAGTGGGGCCCGTCGCTGTGGCGCATCTGCATCCCCAGTGTGGTTCACGTGTAGGGACCATTAGCGTTGCAGTCAACGATGTGAGTTTGAATCCTAGTGCGTGTATTAAACTGGGTGACTTGAGCCTTTCTGCTATGGTCTAAATGTCTGTCTCTAGAAAATTTGGATGTTGAAATCCTAACTCCACAAGGTTGATGGTATTAGGGGGTGAGGGCTTTGGGACTAATTAGATGCATCCACAGAGTGAGGCCCTCGTGCTGTGGGGTCAGTGCTCTTGTAAAACCGGCCCGGAGGGCTGGTGCTGCGGCTCACTAGGCTAATCCTCCGCCTAGCGGCACCGGCACACCAGGTTCTAGTCCTGGTCGGGGCGCCGGATTCTGTCCCGGTTGCCCCTCTTCCAGGCCAGCCCTCTGCTGTGGCCAGGGAGTGCAGTGGAGGATGGCCCAGGTGCTTGGGCCCTGCACCCCATGGGAGACCAGGAGAAGCACCTGGCTCCTGCCATTGGATCAGCGCGGTGCGCCAAAGGAAGACCTTTCTCTCTGTCTCTCTCTCACTGTCCACTCTGCCTGTCAAAAAAAAAAAAAAAAAAAAAAAAAAAAAACTGGCCCGGAGAGCTGCCCTTGGTGAGGGCAGAGCTCGCAGGCACCGTCTATGAGGAAGCAGCTTCTCACCAGACACTGCTGGGGCCTTGGTCTTGGATCCCCCAGCCTCCAGAAGTGTGAGAAATCAATTTCATCAATTTCCATTGCTTATGATTTATGCAGTCTAAGGTGTTTTGTTAGAGCAGTCCGAACAGATAAAGGCCATTTCTAAGCCACAGAGTTCCCATTAATAAATTTGGAGCTCTAAATACCTGCACAAGCTGCTGTCAGCAGGGACAGACCCAGCTTCTCGAACCCCAAGGTCGTCAAGGGAGGCGCCCCGAAGCTTTGGCTTCAAGGACACTGTACCTCCGTCCCCTCCAAGGAAAGAAGAAAATGCCACATCCTCCTTGCCCCGGAACCCTAAAGCCACGTCCACGCTGAGGTCTCCATCCAGGTCTCTGCCAGCCTGATATGCCGTCTCCCCACGGCAGCCCCAGAGCAAAATCCCTCTTCCTCCTCCTCCGTCCCACGGTGTGACCCTGGACAAGCCCCTTCACTCTGGAGTTTGGCTGGCTAAACTTGCCACTCTGGAGCAGGTGTTTGGCCTTGGGGTTAAGAAGCCCCCATCCCCTATCAGAGGACCTGGGTTTGAGTCCCAGCTCTGCCCCTGATTCCAGCTTCCTGCTGGTGGGACGCAGCAGTGATGGCTCAAGTAGTTGGGTCCCTGCCAACCATGTGGGAGACTTGCATTGCCTTCTCCTGTCCTGGATTTGGTCCACAGGCCACTGGAGATATTTGGGGGAGTGAGCTAATGGAACAAAATTCTCCCTCCTCTGTCTTTCTGTCTCTCAAATAGAGAGACATTGTGCACAGCAGGCCAAGCCTCTGCCTGGAATGCTGGCATCCCATATAGGCACTGGTTGGAGACCCTGCTGCTCCACTGGCGATCCAGCTCCCTGTTAATGTGCCTGGGAAAGCAGTGGAAGGTGGGCAAGTGCGTGGGCCCCTGCACTCTTCTGGGAGACCCAGAAGAAGCTCTGGGCCCCTGGCTTCGGCCATTGCAGTCATTTGGGTGAGTGAACCAGTGAATGGAAGATTCATATTCTCTGTCTCTCTCTCCTTTCTCTACAACTCTGCCTTTTAAATAAAATAAATCTGAAAAAATTACACAAAGAAAACTTTACAGTGTGTATACTGTGATTTGTACTGCTCAGGTTAATCATTACCTTTTATTTTTAGAGTTAGGCTCTTTCCAGTCAGGACAACTCGAACGTTCACTTTCCCCGGGCAGGATGATGAGAGTGAGTGGGATCCTAGGAGGGGAGGCAGAGAGAGGCCGATGGGAGACCACCAGCCACTAAGCATCGTGTCTGGTGTCTCGCTGAGGACACGGCCTTGATGGAGTGTGGTGCCAGGGGGACAGAGTCCAGGGTGTGTACAGGTGTGACCTACAAACTTCAGAAGCCAGCACTCCACAGCGCCCCTCAGCTCCCCACCAGGGCTGGACCCCCCCCTTCCCAGGGTGGAGTCTACGGGAAATGAGGCGACTGAGCAGGTGCCGATATACTCTCCCGTTCGCTTTCCGTGAGGAGCTCACCTGCCGGCCCCCCAGCTCCGACACAGTCTGAAAGCCACGCCAAACACCGGCGGGAGAAAGTTGGCGTGTGGGGACTCCTACTACAGGAGAGACCCCTGTGCTCCGTCCTGGCCCCTGCCAGCGGGCTGCTTCCCTGCGTTCCGACCTCCTCTCCCTCTGACCCTGGCCTCCCAGCCCTTCCACTACGGCCCCGGGCGTGCCGCGGTGGACGACGCCCAGCTGAAGCTGTGCGGGCCGCGCGGCAGCACCAGGTCCAGGGTGAGGTCTCGCTGCTCCTCCTCGGAGAACACGGGCCGGTAGCCCAGCAGCTGCAGGGCGCCGGCGCACAGCTCCTGCACGCGGCGGATCTTGGCGAAGGGAAGTGCGTGGCGCCAGGCCTGCGAGACGTTGAGCGCGTCCCTGGACGTGGTCTTGAAGGCCTCGCGGCGCGCGCCGGGGCCCGACCCGTGCGTGATGTTGTGGATCCAGGCCTCGAGCTGCGGCGTGAGCCTCAAGCCGGTGAAGGCGTAGAGCGCGCGGATCTCCGCCAGCGGCTCCCGCGCCAGGTCCTCGAAGCGCACCAGGCGGTAGCGGCCGCGCAGGAAGGGCGGCGGCTTGCGCGTGGCGGCCTCGGCGATGCGCACGTGGCTGCGGCACACCTCGCGCACCACGCGCAGGCCCGGGTCGGCCTCCACCCACGTGCCATTGGTGCCCAGCACGATGCCGTTGTCCCGGGCCAGCGCCTTGGCCGTCTGCTCCCGGGAGCGCAGCACGGCGCGCGGGTCGCGCACCAGGTGCACGATGTGCAGGTTGAGCGCGGGGTCGCTGAGCAGCGGGTAGAGTACCTGCAGGTTGAAGAAGCGCACCTCCTTGAGCACCACGTGGCTGTAGGAGCGGCAGGCCTCCTGCGCCAGACTGAAGGGCCGCCGCGCGCACAGCGGCTTGCACACCGCCTCGCTGCTGATGGCGCCGCGCGGGAAAGCGCTGCAGGCGGGCGGCGAGCACAGCGCGCGGCTCACCGCCCACTGGAAGAGGTCCGACAGGTTGCGGCGCCAGGGCAGGTAGGCGTCAAACACGTCCATGTCGCACAGGAAGACGGAGCGCACCAGGTCGCGCACGGCCATGTGCAGCGCCGGCGCGCTGCCCTGCGACAGGGCGGCCCACACGTGCCACGCGGGCTCCATCAGGTAGAAGACGTCGGGGTGCTGGCTGAAGAGCTGGCCCACGAAGGACGAGCCCGAGCGCCACGAGGACAGCACTAGCACGTGCACGCGCTCCTCGCCCCCTGCCGCCGGCCGCGGCCCCGGGGGTCGCGAGACCAGGAAGAGCAGGAGGAAGGTCTGCGCCAGCAGCAGAGCCGTGACGGCCGTGCTGGAGACGCGCGGCAGCCACATGCCGCCGGCCGGGGGCCTGCAGGAAGAGAGCACAGGTCAGGGGCGCCGACCACTGCCCGGGGGCTGGAACACCGGGCCCGACGGGGCCTCAGCCGGGGGCTTTCCCGGGCACGCGGCGTGAACACAGGAGCCTTGGCCCACACGCGGAATGGCGCGGGAAGTCAGTGTCTTCAGCCACCTGCCTACTTGCTCTGTCTGAAGACGGAGCTGCTACTCTGAGAATTCCGCCTTCTGTTTGAGGGAGACGCTTCCAGGTCGCTGAGCCAAAGGGCTCGATGGTGATTTGGCGCGTGTCAGAGTAACACCTGGCCCCCTCAGATGTGGATCCTGGCTCTGCCGCTTCCTCCGTTGTGATCTTGGACCAAACAGTGAATCTCTGTGACTCAGTTTACCTGTCCGTGAAAGGGGGATGATGCCGGTACCTGGCTCACGGGATCTGGGAGCACGCACTAACTTACGTAACTGAGGACTTGACCTTCTACACAGTGTGCTCCTGCACCGCATGGTTATTTTATTTATTTACTTATTTATTATAACTGCTTATTTATTTTAAAGATGGAGAGAGAGGGAGCTCTTCCATCCACTGGTTCACTTCCCAGATACCCACAACAGCCCAGACGGGGCCCAGCAGAAGTCTCCTATGTGGGTGGCAGCGATCAGAGCACTTGCGATCCGGGCTGTGCCTCCCAGGGTGCACACTGGAAGGAAGGTAGGACTGGAAGTGCAGGAGCTGGGACTGGAGTGAGGCGATCTTGAACACGATGTGGGCGTCCCCTGGGGTGCTCGAAACCTCTGTACCAAATGCCTCCCCTGTGTGATTTTTTTAAAACAAGCAGCTATGACTTTGTTATTAAAAATTAGCAAAGAGGGGTGAGTGTCTGGTGCAGCAGTCAAGACACTGCTTGCGACGCCCGCATGCCATCACGGAGCGCTTGCCCACGTGCCATCGTGAGCGCTTGGTTCCAGCCCTGGCCCCTCCTCTTCTGAGCCAGCTGCCGGGCAATGCACACCCTGGGAGGCAGCAGATGTGGCTCAATGGCTGGGTCCCTGCCACCTGTGTGGGAGACCCAGATGGGATTCTGAGCTCCTGGCTTCAGTCTGGCCCAGCCCTGGCTCTTGTGGACATCTTGGGAGTGAACCAGCAGATGGAAGATGCTTCTATCTCTGTCTCTGTTTCAGATAAAGTAAAATTAAATAAAAATGAAAAAAAAAAAAAAAAGACAAAGAGACCAACTGTTACCATCACTCTTGGGAAGTGTTATGGGTTGAGGATTTGTCTCTCCAAAACCGATGCAGCTGTTTAAACTCTGGAGTTATAGTGATAAGGATTGACGGATCAAGGGCAGAGGTGGGGCTGGATGGGGGTCTGTGGGTCATTGCCGCCATGCCCTGCGGGGGGTGGCTCTTGAGAGAAGCGGTGGCAGAGATGCTCTCTCCCTCCTGTGTCACGGCGTGATCACTGCCACCGTACCCACCGTAACCAGCCATCACCAGATGCCAGGCTGTGGGGTCGCCTGAGCCTGTAGCCTCAAACTGTAAGACGAAACAAGCTCCCCCCCCCCAAACTCCTTTCAGGCATTTTAGTTAAGGTCATGAAAAGCAGGCTGATACAAGATACAGGGCGTGCAGAGCTGAGGGCAGGACAGACTCAGGAGTATCCTCCTGGGGCTGGCGCACTTGACCCAAGAGACCAGGTGAGGGGGCGCGGGGGGCCAAAGCAGCACAGAGGTGAGAGCGGAGAGAAAGCACCCTGGCGGCTGCCGGACCCTCCCCTCCAGGACACTCACCACTGTCCAGTGCTGCTGGGCGAGCGACGCTGGTCACAAACCCATGGGGGATGCCTGGAGGGTCCACCGAGTCTGAGAAGGCAGGAGAAAGACTGGATCAGAGCCCCGAGGGGAAACAGTGCTGTAAACAGCAATGTCCCCGGGACAGGCGCACAGCAGCCCTGTCCTGAGCTGGGCGGACTTGCAAAAGCCTGTGAGCTGAGGGGCTCTGCTGCCGGATGGAGGAGACAGGGCTAAGAGCCAGCGCAGCCACGTAAGAGCCAGGAGGCCCGGGGCAAGGACCTGACCTGTCCAGGTCTGCACGTCCTTCTGTACGGAATGCGGACGGCAGCATTTAACCCCTTTCAGGTTGTGGTGAGGATGATGCTGCAGACGCCGATAGGGAGTGGGTTCAGGGAAGCAGCACACACAGGCCCCACATCACTGTTGCCTTTTTAGGGTTGAGCTTTGTCAGTACAGTGGGGCACTCCTCCCCCTGAGAGGTGTCTGCCCATGAGAACACTGAGGTCACCTACTCTAGGAATCCCAGCATCTCCCAGGCCTACCTCCAGCCCTGGAAAATCCCTACGCCCCTTAGTGGATCTTAAGAACATCAAACATGGGGCCGATCAAGTGGCATAGAAGGCTAAGCCTCTGCCTGCTGCGCTGGGATCCCATATGGGCGCCAGTTCGAGTCCTGGCTGCTCCACTTCAGATGCGGCCCCCCCCCCTTTTTTTTTTTTGACAGGCAGAGTGGACAGTGAGAGAGACAGAGAGAAAGGTCTTCCTTTGCCGTTGGTTCACCCTCCAATGGCCGCCGCAGCCGGCGCGCTGCGGCCAGTGCACTGCGCTGATCCGAAGCCAGGAGCCAGGTACTTATCCTGGTCTCCCATGGGGTGCAGGGCCCAAGCACTTGGGCCATCCTCCACTGCACTCCCTGGCCACAGCAGAGAACTGGCCTGGAAGAGGGGCAACCTGGAAGAGGGGCAACCGGGACAGAATCCGGCGCCCCGACCGGGACTAGAACCCGGTGTGCCGACGCCACAAGGCGGAGGATTAGCCTAGCGAGCTGCAGCGCCGGCCAGATGCAGCCCCTTTCTAAAGCGCCTGGGAAGGCAGTAGAAGATGCCCCAAGTGCTTGGGCCCCTGCACCCACATGGGAGAGACCCTGAAGAAGCTCCTGGCTTTGGATTAGCCCGGCTCTGCTTGTTGTGGCCGTTTGGGGAGTGAACCAGCAGATGAAATATTCATATTCTCTTTCTCTTTCTCTCTTTCTGCCCTTAAAATAAGTAATCTTAAAGGGCCAGCGCCGTGGCTCAATAGGCTAATCCTCCGCCTTGTGGCGCCGGCACACCGGGTTCTAGTCCCGGTCGGGGTGCCGGATTCTGTCCCGGTTGCCCCTCTTCCAGGCCAGCTGTCTGCTGTGGCCCGGGAGTGCAGTGGAGGATGGCCCAGGTCCTTGGGCCCTGCACCCCATGGGAGACCAGGAGAAGCACCTGGCTCCTGACATCGGATCAGCGCGATGCGCCGGCTGCAGCGCGCCAGCTGTGGCGGCCATTGGAGGGTGAACCAACGGAAAAAGGAAGACCTTTCTCACTGTCTCTCTCTATCCCCTCTGCCTGTCCAATAAATAAATAAATAAATAAATAAATAAATAATCTTAACAAAATTTACTTGTCCTGTATGGTGGAGGGAACACTCAGCCCAGCGCCCATGCCTGAGGTCCCAGAATCCCCTGCTCTGTGCACCTGCTGCCCTCGCAGTGCTCTCAAGGCTGGATAACTTCAAAGGGAGGGGCCTAGATGCTTCCTTCTTGCTTCTGCAGCACTCTCACCCGACCTGCCCCATCCCCTGCTCGCGTCACCACCGAGAGAAGCTGCGGTTGTGACTGTGAGCAGATCCCACCCCTGTTCTCCCCCCTCATCTAGGAGCTGCACAACTGGGTGGAGGACGCCCAACAGCTCTGCCACCTGCTGGCCCCAGAGCTGCCCCCTGGGTCCCACATCCACTCCTGGAAGACTTGGGAGACAGGGAGAGTGCTCACCCAACTACCCTGCGCCTGTTCTCAACACTCCTCCCATGGGTGGCGGGCTCCGCTGAGAACAGCGCACCAAAGAGGAAGGCCAGCTCATACTCGCAGACACAAATCACACAAGTGCCAGATGCTTTGTGCCCTCCCTATGGGGGGTTTATGACCTCAGTGTTTGGGGTGAAGGACTCGGGACTTGCGGAGATAGCAGGGAAGCTGGGACCAAGTCCAGGACTCCTGGCCCCAAGCTCCCGGCACCTCTGATGGCAGGCTGTGGCCTCTCCCGTCCAAGCACTCTGTACAGCCAGAAGGACCCCGCCACTTTGGCCCTTACACAGCTGCTCTGGGGAGCACAGCCTTCGTCCAGGAGGCGAGGATCTCGGGCCCGGGCCAAGGTGTTTGTCCCTGTGTTCCAGGAAAGGCAGAGGTCGTCTTGCGTGACTCACACGCTACACGGTCTGTCCTTTGATCCTGTTATCAGAACTCAAGAACTAGGAAGGAGACTGAAACATCCTTTGCCGGGCAGGTCCTGGCTGAGGGTCCCTGATAAGAAGCCCAGAGTTTGCCTGAGACTTCAAAGGAAGAACATGTAAGAGAGGCGGTGCAACATGCACTTTTATCTTTATGGTCGTATTTAATTTTTCCAGTATCCCTAGGCCATAGACATCATCCCTGGATGTTTTCCCTGAAGCAAAGCAGCTCAGAGACATGAATCTCCAGCTAGCACAGGCCAGGGCAGGAGTTTAAATCAAAGGGCCAGACCCCCTGGGTCAGGGGCTGGGGTAAGTCTCATGCCTAAGCCTTTGGCCAGGAAGAAGTCTCCCATCCTGGAAGCCCATCCCCTCCCCCACACATTCTTTCTTTTTTGGAGGTACAGATAGGTTTAATTTTTGGAAAGGGAAATATATACAGATCACAGGCAGGTAAGGATATGGTGGACTTGAGAGGGAGCCCCACCCTCTGGGCCGACGAAGCCCCACACCAGAACTCAAGGACCAATCAGGAAAAAGGAAGTGATGCCCCCGTCCTGAAGACCCTCCCCAAACCCTCCCCAGAGGCAGTCATGCCTCCACTTTCCACCAAGTCTCTGACAGCGATAATACTAGTGATGAAAATAATCATATAAACATTAACAAATAAATTTAAAAGAAAATAATCCTATATTCTGGGTAAGGAGAGAGGGTCTGAAGGCCAAGAGGCCAAAGATGAAATTGAAATTTCTCTTGGGGCAGCACTGTGGTGTGGCAGGTAAGCTGCCACCTGCAGCGCTGGCATCCCATATGGACACCGGTTCGAGTCCCAGCTGCTTCATTTCCGATCCAGCTCCCTGCTAGTGGGCCTGGGAAAGCAGCAGAAGATGGCCCAAGTGCTTGGGCCCCTGCACTCACATGGAAGACATGGATGAAGCTCCAGGTTCCCGGCTTCAGATTGGCCCAGCTCCAGCTGTTGCAGTCATTTGGTGAGGGAACCAGTGGATGGAAGACCTCTCTGGCTGTGTCTCTCCCTGTCTCTCTATAACTCTGCCTTTCATACAAATAAATAAATCTCTCTCTTTTTAAAGTTTACCAGGTAATCTTTTTCTTTACTCAGGTCATCTTAAAAAAAAGTGATAGTGCTGATTTCCCCTGAACAGAGAAGGAGTCGGATATCAACATTTCATGATAGGCCCTTCCTTGCACCTTTTGAATTTTGACTCATTACTCATTTAAAAAATAAAAACAAAGAGGCCAGCGCCGCGGCTCACTAGGCTAATCCTCCGCCTAGTGGCGCCGGCACACCGGGTTCTAGTCCCGGTTGGGGCGCCGGATTCTGTCCCGGTTGCCCCTCTTCCAGGCCAGCTCTCTGCTGTGGCCCGGGAGTGCAGTGGAGGATGGCCCAAGTGCTTGGGCCCTGCACCCCATGGGAGACCAGGAGAAGCACCTGGCTCCTGCCATCGGATCAGCGCGGTGCGCTGGCTGCAGCGCGCTGGCCGCGGCGGCCATTGGAGGGTGAACCAACGGCAAAGGAAGACCTTTCTCTCTGTCTCTCTCTCTCACTGTCCACTCTGCCTGTAAAAAAATAAAAAAAAATAATAATAAAAATAAAAAACAAAGAATATATAAATGCAGGAAATTCAAAAGGTCAAACAGTTTCCGGAAGTCATCTTCCTGCTCCGGAATCCTGTTCCCCAGGAGCAACTACTCTCAAATCCATGAGCAGTTTCTCCTGTTAATTACCTTTCTATTTCCAGGGGAGGCTAAGGCTTAGCTTATCACTGTAACAATATATGGTATTTGCCTAGTGACATCCTACAGTAAAAGATAAGGACTAATCCTCCCTACACACACACACACACACACACAGGTCCTTATACACTTTCTTCTCAAATGATACCTCATATGATTTTTATAAAATAGCTCAGAGCCAAAGTACGTGATGAACTAAAAGCATATGTCCTTTCGTGTGATGAAGCTTTGTTTGTCTTAGAGTTCAGTCACCTTAGAGATATATATATATATATATTTTTTTTTAATTTGACAGGTAGAGTTATAGACAGTGAGAGAAAGAGACAGAGAGAAAGGTCTTCCTTCCGTTGGTTCATTCCCCAAATGGCTACCACGGCCAGCGCTACGCCGATCCGAAGCCAGGAGCCAGGTGCTTCTCCTGGTCTCCCATGCGGGTGCAGGGCCCAAGGACTTGGGCCATCCTCCACTGCCCTCCCGGGCCACAGCAGAGAGCTGGACTGGAAGAGGAGCAATTGGGACTAGAACCTGGAACCCGTATGGGATGCTGGCGCCGCAGGTGGAAGATTAACCAAGTGAGCCATGGCACTGGCCCAATCACCTTAGATATTAAAATCATAATAAAAGGTTGAAAGATAAAATTGAGGGGCTGGTGCTGTGGTGCAGTGGGTTAATGCACTGGCTTGAAACGCCGGCATCCCATATGGGTGCCGGTTCTAGTCCCAGCTGCTCCTCTCCTGATCCAGCTCTCTGCTATGGCCTGGGAAAGCAGTAGAAGATGGCCGAAGTCCTTGGGTCCCTGCACCCACATGGGAGACCTGGAAGAAGCTCCTGGCTCCAGGCTTTGGATCAGCGCAGCTCTAGCCATTGTGACCAATTGTGGAGTGAACCATCTCTGCCTCTCCTCTCTAACTTTCAAATAAATAAATAAATCTTTAAAAACAAAAGCAAAAAATAAACAAAACAAAAGATAAAATTGAGATTACATAGAAAGCAGAACAAAGGAGGATAAACAATGGAAAATCAGGGACAGATAAGAGAGTGGATGACCTATGCCAAAGCCCTTAACCTGGTGGGGCCTACAACCTAGCTGGGGGCGTTGAAGACACAGTCATGAGAAGGGCCTGGGGCCAGATGGACATCCGGGCACAGAGGGTTATGCTGGACCTGGCATGCACACTTCTCTCCTGGATTCTGGCAAAATCCCACAATGCGCCTCCTTCCAACCTGCCTTGCACCAGAGCTGCTGAAACCACAAGTCTGACCATGCCATCCTCCTTCCGGCTTCCCAGCCGGAATTCCCATCTAGCGGTCCATGCTTCCCATGAGCAGGAATGCTTCATCGCTGTTGATCGAACAAGCTCCCGGCTCCCCTCCTCTGCTGGGAGGGCCCAGCCCTGACTCCCAGCAGGGACCATTCCAGCTTTCCCTCCAGGTGCCTCATTTGTGTCTCTCTCGGCAGCCGGTGTGGGGCTCAGCACTGCACAGGTGCTCTGTTCAGGGTTATTTATGTCCACTCAGTACCGGTCCTTCCCCCTTCCAAAAATGGCCTCCAGATTTTTCCCCTGGGGAAATATCCCTCCCTCACTCAAAGCAGATCCATTGCCCTCTGGTGGTCCAAAGAGTGGCTCATCTGCAGATTTCCTTTTTTTTTTTTTTTTTTTTTTTTTTTTTTAATGATTTATTTGAAAGGCAGAGTTAACAGAGAGGGAGACAGAGAGAGAATCTTTCATCCGTTGGTTCATTCCCCAAATGGTCCCAATGGCCAAGGCTGAGCCAAGCCAAATCCAGGAGTCAGGAGCTTCCTCCAGGTCTCCCACGTGGGTGCAGGGACACAAAAACTTGGGTTGTCCTCTGCCAGCCCCCATATTCCCATTCTTACCCCAGTCTTCCTCCAGCACCCAAGCTACAGAGCTACTGGCTTAGAAATGGGACATGTGGGCTAGCGCCGTGGCTCAATAGGCTAATCCTCCACCTTGCGGCGCCAGCACACCAGGTTCTAGTCCCAGTTGGGGTGCCAGATTCTTTCCCGGTTGCCCCTCTTCCAGGCCAGCTCTCTGCTGTGGCCCTGGAAGGCAGTGGAGGATGGCCCAAGTGCTTGGGCCCTGCACCCCGTGGGAGACCAGGAGAAGCACCTGGCTCCTGCCTTCGGATCAGCGCGGTGCGCCGGCCGCAGCATGCCAGCCGCAGCGGCCATTGGAGGGTGAACCAACGGCAAAGGAAGACCTTTCTCTCTGTTGCTCTCTCTCACTGTCCACTCTGCCTGTCAAAAAAAAAAAAAAAAGAAAAAAAAAAAGAAATGGGACATGTGGGGCTGGTGCTGTGGCGTAGCAGGTAAAGCTGCCACCTGCAGTACCAGCATCCCATATCGGCCCCAGTTCAAGTCTGGGTTGCTCTACTTCTGATCCAGCTCTCTGCTGTGGCCTGGGAAAGCAGTTGGGCCCCTGAACTCTGGTGGGAGACCCAGAAGAAGCTCCCGGCTCCTGGCTTCAGATCAGCACAGCTCCATCCATTGTGGCCGTCTGGGGAGTGAACCAGCAGGTGGAAGACCTCTCTCTCTCCCTCCCTCTCTCTCTCTCTCTCTCTTTTTCTCTCTCCCTCTCTCTGCCTCTACCTCTCTGTAATCCTGCCTTTCAAATAAATAAATGAATGAATAAATCTTTTTTAAAAAAGAAGAAATGAGACATGTGACCAACTGCAATCCCAGATTTTTGGAGCAGCAAGAGAAGAAAACTGAGAATAAAGCCAGCTCAGAAGAGAAGCTGGAAGAGTTGAGAATACAGAGCATCGTCTGAGCATTTGACCCCAGCTGTGCAGGATTCACCCATCAACTCCCAGCTGGCGAAAGCATTCCATTCTGCACCAGCCAGTGCAGGTCGAGTTTCTGCCACTTATAACCAAGAGCTCTGATTGGACAGTGTATACCCTACTGGTGCGTGGGTAGAACCAGAAAGGAACATAGACAAAGCATCAGAGGGGTTGGTTGTGCTGTGAATTGACGAAGGTGTTAACTGCATTAATCGTAATCAGTTAGTGAAAAGCCATCAAGCTATGTAACTGTATGATTTGTGCTCTTTCTGATGTGCGCTGTACCTCAGGGTAACTGTCCCATATCCTGTATCATAGTATCTCAGTCCATCTCCCAATTCCAGCTTCCTGCTAATGTAGATCCTGGGTGGCACCAATGATTACTCAGCTAGTTGGGTCCCTCCCACCCAAATGGGGGACCTGGGTTGAGTTCTTGACTCTGAGCTTTGGCCTGGCCCAGCCACAGCTGTTGTGGGCACTTAGGGAGTGGGCACCCTAACTGGGTGGGAGTGCTTGGTCTTTTAAATAATAATTAAAAAAAAGTGGAACATGGGTGCATTCCTTTTTTTAAATAAAAAAGAACCTTGACTGAATAGGACAGTACATAGCACATCAGGAAATAGCCTGAAGACCAAAGGAGGAGATGACATTAATACGTATTAGCTAGGGACAGGGCAATTGCCCAGTGGCTAAGGCTGCTGGAGATGTCCACCTGCCGTTATCAGAGTGCCTGGGTTTGAATCCTGGTTTCACTTTCAATTTCAGTTTCCTGCTAATGTGCACCCTGGGAGGCAGCTCAAGTCCTTGGGTCCCTGCCACCCATGTGGGAGACCCAGAATGAGTTCCAGGCTCCTGGCTTTGACCTGGTTCAGCCCTGGCTGTTGCGGGCATTTGCGGAAATGAACCAGCAGATGGGAGATTTCTCTCTCTGCCTGTCTCAGTCTCTCTGCCTTTCCAATTTGTGGGGAGCAATCCGGACTAGACTGAGTTACTGGAATTAAGACTTATTCTATGCATCTGCTCTCCCACAATATGGCGCTGGGAGAGAAGTAAACAGCTTCTGCACAGCTGCCTCCAGTTCAACCAATAAACTGTAGGACTTGCTCCTGATTGGAGGAGAGCAGCGTGCTCGGCGTGTGGGCAGCCGAGTTGGGATTGGCGGAGGAGGACTATAAAGGAGGAGAGAGACGGCATGCACCAGGAACATCTAAGGGGAACATCTAAGGGGGACACCTGTGCAGCCCCCCGAGAGAGCCGGCCGGTGGTGTGCCGCTCCCCTGTGGAAGTGGGGAATGTGGCCAGGGGGAACTGCCCTTCCACGGAGGTGGAAGGGATAGTAGCCAACCCGGGAAGAACCAGCAGCAAACCCGGGGAGGGCCGAGCAGACGAAAGAACAGCGCAGGGTCCTGTGTCGTTCCTCCACGAAGAGGGGGAGCGACACAATTGAAATCAGATACTCGGTGATCCAAATCCAAGGGCGAATAACCCCCTTATTGCCTGTTTCTTTCTTCTGAGTGTGTCTTTGGAGCATTCCTTACCACGTCTTGGCCCGAGAGCGACAGGAAGGAGTGATTGCTCTACCTGATATTCAGGCGGGAGGAGCAAGACCAGGGCAAAGGATGGTTTGCTGTAGCTGCAGCTCAGAAAGCCCGTTCTGCAGGCGGCACTCGCTCTCTGTCCAACCTGACTTGGCAGTGCCCCTGTTGCCAGCCCAGCCCAGCCCTGCAGTGAAATGCAATCACAAGTACAGATCCCAGGCTCTGATTTCTCTGTTTGGTGTCATCTGGAGGCCATCCCTGTTCAGGAATCCCGGACAGGCAATCAGTGGACTCCGGGCATAAAGGCCTCCAGTGTGCAAACCGGCTCTGATGGAGCCCAGGGCATTCCACAGAGAGAATGCTGAAAAGGAGGCGAGGAAAGAGGAGAGAAGAGGAGGAAGGGAAGAGAAAAGGAAAATGGGAAAAAATAAAAGCAAGGAGGAAGAAAAGAGGAAGATGAGAGTTTCTGGTGGGTCAGGACCAAGGAGCCCCGGAGCCAATACCATACACTGAGGGCGTCCTACGCACCAAGCCTTTTCCTGCCACTTTCAGAGTTGATCCTCGCAGCAGCCATTTGAAGGGGACCTGATGATGACCTCTGTTATACAGATGAGGAGCCTGAGAGCTGCAAAGGTTAAGGACTCGCCTCAGGGATGCACACAAGCAGGTGGATCTGAGTTTGAATCCGGCAGTTAACTTTAGAGTTTTAACTGCACAGGGACAAGTGGAAAAAGAGAAGTAACAAAACTTACAGAAAAATGCATGTATGGTATCATACCAATCATGTTAAACATACACAGACACCAAAGAACACCTACGGATGAGAAAATAGTTACAAATCATATATGTGGAAAGGACTTGTGTCTTGAATCTGTAAAGAGCTCTTAGAACTCAATAATAGGGGCCGGCTCTGTGGCATAGTGGGTAAAGCTGTCACCTGCAGTGCCGGCATCCCATATGAGCACCGGTTGGAGACCCAGTTGCTCCTCTTCTGATCCAGCTCTCTGCCATGGCCTGGGAAAGCAGTAGAAGTGGCCCTACTCCTTGGGCCCCTGCACCCATGTGGGAAGACCCAGAGGAAGCTCCTGGCTCCTGGCTTCAGATCGACACAGCTCCAGCTGTTGTGGCTAATTGGGGAGTAAACCAGCAGATGGAAGATTTCTCTCTCTCTCTCTGTAACTCTGACTTTCAAATAAATAAACAAATCTTTAAAAAAAACCTCAACAATAAACAATCATATTTGTAAGAAGGGCAAAGGACTTGAGCAGACATTTCTCCAAAAGAAACAGCCCATGAGTACTCAAAAGGACTATGATGTTTTGTACTCACTAGGGAAATGCAAGCTGAAATCACAGTAACACGTTATTTCCCATCTACTAGAATGACTGTAATAAAAATGTTAGGAAATAAAAAAATTAAAAACAAATACTACTGAGAAAGCAGAGAAACTGGAGCCATCACACACTGCTGGTGGGAACGTGAGGTGGGGCAGTTGCTGTGGAAAGCGGCTGGGCCGTTCCTCCAAAGATTCGGCATAACAGACCACGTGACCGCAGTCTCACTGCTAGGTATACATTCCAGAGAACTGGGAATGTACAGCCACATGGAAATCTGTTTGCCATTCCCACAGCACCTTCCATCTCAAAAGTCAACAAGCAGAAACATTCCAAATACCTAGGCATTCACGATAAACGGATAAACACAACAGAGTATCCCCACACAGTATAATGTTTTCCAGCAACAAGAATGACTGAAGTAGTGATATATGCAATGTTCAAGATAGATGCGGCCACTGTTGTGGCACAGCAGGTAAAGCCACTACCTGCCACACCAGCATCCCACATGGGCACTGGTTCAAGACTGGCCACTCCGCTTCTGATCCAGCTCCTTGCCAATGAGCCTGGGAAAGCAGTGGAAGATGGTCCAAGTGCTTGGGCCTCTGCACCCATGTGGGAGACCCGGATGAAGCTCCTGGCTCCAGGCTTCAGCCTGACACAGCTTTGGCCCTTGTGGCCATTTGGGTTGTGAACTAGCAGATGGAAGATCTGTCTCATTCTGTCTGTCTGTCTCTCTCTCTCTCTCTAACTCTGCCTTTCAAATAAATAAAAAATAAATCTTAAAAAAAAAGGTTCAAGATGTGTGAACCTGATGGTGACTGACATACAACATTGACTATACCACAGCCACTGCATTGTACAGTTTTAAAAGTATGAACTTTAAGGTTTATGAATTATATCTCAATCAATCTGTTACTAAAAAGCACACGCAAGGACATGGACAAAGAAGTGTGAAAGTTTGCACACTGACAATGGATGCTTATATTCCTATGGCCATGTTCCAGGAAATCTTTTTTCTTAGCACTTTGCTGGATTTTCCAGATGGTCTACAATAGACTTGTATTATTTTGATAATCATAATGTCGGTTCTTTTCAGCTAGTGAAAGGAGGCATAGATGGAGTATGCCTGCCCTCAGTTTTCACCGCAGGGAGACAGGTGCCTGCAAACCCATCTCCCAGCTGAGCCAAATACCCATGGGGCCAGAGAAGGCCCCGGGCAGGGGATAGATAACCAGCTCCCAGACAGCAAAACACGTCAAGGCCCCCAGCCCACCCTCCACCCCACACCTGTGGTCATGGCCTGATGTGGCCGAAGACGTGGCAGGCCCCCAAGCCTTGGCCACATCTGCTGTCACCCTGCCAGTCCTGTGCTGCAGCTGCGTGGCATCCACAGCCCAGATGCTGCTGGAGGAGACACATCTGCCTTCAAGAATTCATCGGGAAATGAACTCAAATGAGTTTGGGAAAGACACCTCGGGGCTCCCTGGCTCAGGGCCACCCTGGGGCATTTCAGAACAGATGAGCGGAGGCCTGCAACACCAGCATCCCCTGTGGGCGCTGGTTTGAGTCCTGGCTGTTCCACTTCTGATCTAGCTCACTGCTAATGGCCTTGGAAGGCTGTGGAAGATGTCCCAAATCCTTGGGACCCCTGCACCCATGTGGGAGACCCAGATGAAGCTCCTGGTGCTTGGCTTTGGCATGGCCCAGTCCTGGCTGATGTAGCCATTTGGGGAGTGAACCAGTGAATGGGAGATCTCTCTCTGTGTGTGTGTGTGTGTCTCTCCTCTTCCTCTCTCTCTCTGTAACTCAAATGAATAAAACAAATCTTAAAAAAAAAAAAAAAAAAAAAGAGGACAGAGGAGCAGCTATGAAGGCGTGAGCCGCTTTTCCAGGTCTTGAGTGTTGGGGGTGCTCAAAGTGCACTGCTCAGCATGCAGCCTGCTGAAAGTCACAAAACCAGAGCTGGAGGGCTGCAGTGTGCGGGGTTCCCTGCTCTTCTCGGAGGCAATACACTCAGGCCGGGAGGCCGGGATCACGCAATCCACACGTCCCCCTTGGTTGCCCCAGACATGGACAGGGTCCTCTTACTACAGGGATAATCCAGAATGTTCTCTGGTTTCCTTTCATTAATACTTTAATTTAATTATTCTCAATGAGTAAACTATTCTTACCAAGTCAATGACATAAAAAGAAAAAGGTATGGATTATTTTGGAAAAAAATACCTCACAAACACTGAAGCAGTCAAAGGCAACACGTGGACTTCATTTGGATGCCAGTGAGAACCAATCAACTGCAAGAAGCTATCCTAGGTACCAGCGCTGTGGCGCAGCGGGTTAAAGCCCCAGGCTGCAGCTCTGGCATCCCATATTGGGTGCCTGTTCGTGTCCTGGCTGCTCCACTTCCAATCCAGCTCTCTGCTATGGCCTGGGAAAGCAATGAAAGATGGCCTAAGTCCTTAGGCCCCCGCACCTGCGTGGGAGACTCAGAAGAAGCTCCTGGCTTCGGATCAGCTCAGCTCTGGCCGTTGTGGCCATATGGGGGAGTGAATCAGTGGATGGAAGACCTCTCTCGCTTTCTGGGTCTACCTCTCTCTGTAACTCTTTCAAATAAATAAAATTTAAAAAAATAAAAATAAAAAAAGAAGCTATCCTAGAGGTAACCAGACATTTCAATAAAGACTGAACATTAGGTGCTATTGAGAAGTTATTGTTAATGCTATTATCATGACCCAGAAAACTCTGGTTCTGCACCTCTCTTGAGCTACATGACAAGAAGCAGAATTGAGTCTGTCGCACTGAAGAGAGTAGGTAGAGAGCCTACTATTTGGTTTGAAGGAGTCCTGGGTGGAGCTGGCCTCACTCAGCTTGCACTGCAGGAGAGAGGTGCCTGCAAATCCATCTCCCAGCTGAACTAAGTACCCACTCAAGAGTATGAACCCCAGGGCCAGTGCTGTGGCACAGCGAGTTAGGTCACTGTCTGCAGTGCCAGCAACCCTTATGGGCGCTGGTTTGAGTCCTGACTTCTCCACTTCCAATCCAGCTCTCTGTGATGGCCCTGGGAAAGCAGTAAAAGATGGCTCAAGTGCTTGGGCCCCTGCACCTGTGTGGGAGACCCAGAAGAAGCTCCTGGCTCCTGGCTTTGGATCAGCTCAGCTCTGGCCATTGTGGCCATTTGGGTAGTGAACCAGCAGATGGAAGACCTCTCTCTGTCTCTCCCTCACTCTATGTAACTCTCCTTTCAAATAAATAAAATCTTAAACCAAAAAAAGTATGAATCCCACATGGTCATTTACTGAAAAGTTACTCAATCTGTTTGTCCCTGCTTTTTTTTTTTTTCTGTTTTAAATCTACAAAGTAGAGGAAATAATACAACCCAAAGCATGGGCTTGATTCGAAAATTGAACAAATTACTATTTGTAAGGCATCTAGAACAATGCCTGGCACACACAGTGCACTTACAAGCATTCGTTTGTTCAGGAACCTTCCAAATCTTAGCAATTACATTTTATGACTCCAAGGGAAAATCTTTTCACAGAGAAAACCCAAGGACAATAGTCCTGCCAAGTTCAGGTGGCCCCCATGCCCCAGCACCAGCAGAGACAGCACAGGCACACAGGACGGGAGAGCCACCAACAAGGGCTGGAAGTCTGGCTTCTGAGGCCAGGCTGGGTTCAAGTCCTGCCCCGGCTTCAGCTTCCAGACCTGTGGTGACATGAGCCACTCTCACCCCTCTGGCTGACCCCTGCCTACAAGGAGGCTGTAAAAGCTGGGAGCCTGGATGGGGGCACAGCCAGGGCTCCCCACGGCACCAGTTGGGAGCCCCAAGTTGGACTCGCTCACTCAGCGTCAGGACAGCCAAGTCCCTCCTGCTCCTTAGCCACAGCCTGCCCGTTGTCATAAATGGGACTCCAGAGGCTCCCGGCTCCGGGGTACGGGAGGGAAGAGAGAGGAGCGCCAGCATTTGCTGGCCACCGGCTGGGAGACCAAGAGGGGCCTCTCCCTGTTGCCCCAGGGGGTGGCGGTGGGGTCTTGTCCCCAACTCACTCGTTAGCCTTCTGTTCCTCCACCGTGGTGTGCAGAGAGCCCCCGGAGAGCCCCTCAGAGCCCTGTCCTTTGAGACTCAAGGCTGGCGAGATAAAGGGTCTCCCAGCCGTGACCGTGACGGGGCGACACTTTTCAGCCCAGCGCGGGGACTGCGATGATGCCCGCGGTTCCACCTTGTCCGCGGGACAGCGGCCCCCGGAGCTGCCCGCCCATCCCGAAACCCGCTGCTGTGCTGCGGGGCCCCGGGGCCCAGGCCCAAGCCCGCCCGTGGCGTGGGGACACCCGCGTGGACAACAGGAGAGCCAACCTACCCCGGACCTTGGCGTCTCCGCGGGACCCGGCGCGGCGGGGCTCAGCCGAGCGTCCTGCTCCACGTTCCACCCCACGCCCAGTTCCTCTTCTTGAGTCGGCAGGGGCTGAACCGTTCCTTTGGGTCCCAAGCGGCCACCCGGCGACACCGGGGAGGGGCCTCTCAGAGGCGCGCTCGGGAGTCCAGAGATTTGGTAGGCGCCTGGAGTTCCGCTGCCGGAAAGAGCGCAGGAGCCGCAGTAAGACGGAGAGGGGGGTCGTACGCAGGGGATGGAGGGGGTAGGGGTGACTAGGGGCCACGGCAGGGAAGTGAGGCGGACCCTCCCACCCAGCGGGGCGCCCCCTCCGGTGCCGGGCTCTGCGCGCCCCGCGCCCGCCCGGTTCTACCTGCGCTGCCCGCCCGGGGCGCACACAATGAGCGGCTTTGAGACGTGGCTGCGGTCCCCGGCTGGCCCGCGGGAGCCTGAGCGGGAGGGAAGGAGGAAGGAGCCGGTTGGCCCCACCGACTCCCGCTACCCTCCCCGCTGCCCAGCGAGGGGCCACGCCTCGGGGGAGGGGCGGCTGGCCGAGGGCGGGCGCGGGAGGGGCGCGGGAGGTCGGGGTCGGTCAGGTGGGCTGGGCTGCTTGGCCGCGGGCGTCCGAGGGCACTGGCGGCGTCACTCTATGTACCGAGCGACAAAGTTGTCTCCCCCTGCGCTCCGCAGGGCAGAGAGGCTCCCGGGGGACAAAAGGCCCTTGTGGAAGAAACTGAATCTGAAGCTCGCGGGCATCCTCGCAGCCGCCCGCGGCCCCGGCCCCGGCCCTAAGCCGACACCCGGACTCCTCGATGTCGGGGTCCTGCGCGCCCGGGAGGGCTCTCCGGAGCTGGGCGCGCAGCTGTCCCTCTCCTGTCCGCTCCCTGCTCCAGCCCCAACCCGGGAGGCACACGCGGGCAGGATGGCAGGTCCGGATAAACACAGGATCCATTTCAACAAACAGACCAGTCCCCTAACAAATAGCAGGGCAGAGCCCAGGCATCTGAGAAGGATAAGGCATTCCGAGGTCTTGTAATCGGCGGTGGGATCTAAAACAAGAAGCCTGTGCTGCCGGGAGTATCAATTAGTGCGGCTCCTCCTGCGTGTGGCTTGGCCCGGACGGATTACCACCGTCTCCATGGCTATAGCTTGCTTTCCGGGTTCCTCATTTCTTTCCAGGATCCCTCTGAAGGAAATAAACTGGCCCCAAGGAACTGTACACAAGGTTTGTAGAATGTTGCTCAGGATAACGAGAACACAAAGGATTAGAGAAGCACATGCCAGCGTGCCAAGCACTGTAGCTTCCGGGCAGTGAGGTCAATTACTTCCCGTAAGAGCTCAACGTTCATGCAATTTACCTGTTTTCCTGAACCCTAACAGGCATTCCAGATAAGACAGACAGGGAGAGAACTGCTCTATTTAACCTTATATCATGGGACCTAAGGACACCATCAGGATCCTTACCTGATTCAAACAGGGACTGGCCTCATCCCCTGGCGCTCTGTCCCCCCCAGCCCGACTATTAACCACCCCACAGCTTGACTTAGCCCTGGGTTGTAGCTCAACTGATAAAACCCTTAGACCTCTCACCTTCCTCTCTGCCGCCACCAGGCTGTGTGGGAGGGTTCGGAAGCCCGGTGACATCTGACCAGTAAACAATTTCATTTGGCCAGTCACAGTTGTAACTTTCCAGCCTGTGGCTTCTTCCACAGGCCATGTGGATTCCACCAGAAGCTCACATTTACTTGGGGTTAGACCAGGCGCTTTTGCCGAAGAGCCAACAAAAGCTCCAAGGTCTTTGGGCAGAGTCTTGGCAAAGCAAGGCAGCTGTGAGTAACCGGGAGAAGCGCGCACAACCCCTGGGCTCCCCACCCTTCCCCCACCTCGCCTTTCCCCCCTAAAAGGCCACATGCAACCTTCCATTTGAAACATTTTAATTAGAAAGTTATAAAACATCAAGTCTTTTGTACACATTTTGCATTAGAATAACTTAAACACAAAGCAATGTATATACACATTTTTAGCCATCTCTCCACATCTTGTTACATTTTTGTAATTTAAACTGGAAAACATTTTCATTTGAATCTCAGGGGAAAAATTGTAGGCACATAAATAGCCCTAAATATTACAAGCAAAGAAAGAAGAACCAGTGATGGGGGCGTTTTTTCTGCTTGAATACTTCAAAAGAGCTTTGTTTCCAAATCTCTTGATTAACCTGAAAAAAAATAAGACGCTTTGGAAATAGGACCTGAAGCTCCAAGGTAAACCGAGGCACGTGGCATTTGTGGGTGGGCATGAATCGTGGATCACAGGGAGGCGTGTCCTTCCAGCGCCAATGACCGGCTCAGGACCGAGAAGCAGAGCCGCTGTCCTCTGGGGAGCTGAGCAGTCTCTGCTTGCACTACAGGCCCATGAGAGCCAGGAATCGCCTCTCCTGCTTTTCCCTCAGCCCTGCAGGTACCCTGGCTGCACTGGACTGCGGGGGTTGGTACCCTCCTCACTCCCTCACTGCTCCTGTGTCCTCCCCCAAGCTGCCCACTGGGATGGGCACCCTACTCTCTTGTCAAGGAACTGTGCTTCCCGCTAGCCCTCCAAATAAACCCTGCTGTTGCCAGGCAGCGGGAGCCAAGACCAACAAGAACTCCTCTGTCACCCAGGTCCTTTGCAGGAAGGGGGGGCTGTCAGGGAGGAGGAGTGGCAAGTGTCCAGGCCCTTGGGTGAGGGCCAGGGAGAAAGAACCTGTTGTTACCATCCCAACCTCCCCCTCGCCTGCAGACGGGTCTGTGAATGGAACTCAGCCTGCCGCTGCGGGGCACAGACAGAGGGCAAAAGGCAGGGCCAAGAGCCAGGGGATAAAGGCTGCTCAGCTGAGCCCACGACAGACGGCTGTCTGTTAGACTGAGGGCAGGTGGATGGTCCTGGTGTCCTGGGGTCAGCCCCTCTCCGCCCCCTGGGCCTGACCCCTCCTTTCTCCAGCTAGAGGCCTCTGTTCTGGCAATCAAAGCTCTGAATGGGAACTGTAGATGCCCAGGAGTGGAAAGTGCTAGTGATTTGCATTTGTCATGAGAGCTCCGAAAAGAGTGAAAAACAGTGGTTTACAATGGAGGGAAGAAATGCTTAGTGTTTCTGAGTGCAAGAGAGGAAAAGTCTTTGCTGGACTACAGATGGGACTCTTTCCAAGTTGTCTGAACTGACTGCAGTTTCCCCCTGAAATGTAAGCGTAAGGCAGAAGAAGAAAAGAAACAGAGAATGCTAGCCTCAGGGAAGCCTCTGAGCTCTGTACACACCAGGTCCCTGACCATTCTGGAAGGAGCTGTTCTTTGTCCCTGGGGGGAACCACACACAAGCCCGCGTGTGTTCAGGGTCCTCTGCCGAGACGTGCCTGGCTATCGCGAGGCGGGCTTAGGACAGGTGCTCCTTGCGCGGATCTGCCCAGGGTGTTGCTGTCACGGGGATTGTGGTCACCACCTGATTTTGAAACACAAATACTTTGATTCTCTCAAACACCCAGAGGAAGACAAGCAGGATGCTGACATACTGGATCCAGGCAAACTTGATCATCTCCCAGAAGCCGGGCTGGTAGGTGGGGAGGGTTAAGGAGTAGCAAAGGACAAGCCGGGAGGAGGAGCTACACCAAGGTTTGGGTCTGGCAGGAAATAGCAAGAATGTTTCAAATGCCCTTAAGAGAAAAGGGATCATAAATGCTCATTAAATCATCAATATGGATACTGACCTCAAAGAGTCTCAGCAAGAAATATCAACAGGAAATGAGTTTGTTTTCCTGTACCAAAGGCAGGCAGGCAGTCACTTGTGCGGGGCTGTGGCCATTTCCAGCCCAGGGCTTCCCACATGTGAGCCCAGGCGGGGACAGCGAAGGGGCTTTCCTTCCCTCTGCAGCCTGAGCCCTACAGGCCTCCAACAGAAAGGATATGAAATGACTTCCACAGGGTATCGGATGACAGCGTTAATCACGAAGGGAGCCTCCGCAGCCCTGCCCACCAGCCAGATGGGGTGGGGGTCACTCAGGACAGTGGTGACTGCAACAGAATCACTGATCTTTAATCCAGGACGGACCCCCTTGCCAAAAGGTGACAAGGGCTATAAACATCCCCCTGTACGTACCTGAAGGGATGACCCTGCACTTCTATAACGCGAATGAAAAATTCTAAAAGAAAGAGGACTTGTGTGGGCAGACACTCCCTTGTTATCTGCAAAAATACCTCTGTTAAAACCATGTCAAAAGCGCAGAAACCAGTCTGCATTCTTGTGCGGCTGCGGCATGGCTACCCGAGGGATGTCATGCTGCCACTCGGAACAGTGCAGCAGTGTGGGGGAAATACTGATATTTCATTGTTAAATAAATTAAGAGAAAAAAAAAGCTAATGTGGATCCCAAAGCTAAATGTGGATCCCTTCCACACTGTAACAGTTAAATACTCAAATATATATTTTGTAAAAACCCATATATGGATCAAAAGTGAATGGGATAATGTAGTGTGTATGGAATAATGTAGTGTGTTTTGGTTCTGTCTTAATGCGTCCTGTGTTGTTGGAATGCTGCTGACTCTGTACGACCTAAACATAGGGAGAAACCCTGGAACCGAACTCCTTTCACGTGCACATGACTGAGCGTGGTACCCACGACGTCTGGTTGCCAAGCAGCAGGTTAGAGTCCTCTGGAGACAACCTCAGGCCCGTGAGCAGCACTCTGGGGCTCTGCGGGCAGTGCCAGGGCCCCACCTGCCAGTCAGGACCGCAGGGGGCTGCTGGCACGCGCTGAGCTGCCAACACGCTCGGTTTCTTCTGAAAACAAGACCGCAATCGCCCCTCATCTCCCACAGGTGTGGTATGAGCAACACCTTAATTAACCTTTTTTTTTTTTTTTAAGGAAATCACCAAGCCAGTGATGGCATAAGCATAGCAATTAATCATTAACGGACCAGAGGGGTGGGGGGCGGGGTCTGAAGACACAAAAGGACCACTGTGGTCGCAGGGTTCCAAGCCTGTTCTCCCGCGACCCCCACCAGGCTGGAAGGCGCTGGAGCGGGGCTGAGGGCGGGCTCCCCCACACTCACCGTTCCTTTCCTGGTAGGCAGCGGCAATGCGGGTGAGGTCGTAGTCTCGGGCGAAAGGGCTGGTGCTGTTGATCACAGACACCTGGGGCACAGTGGGAGGCCGTGGGTGAGTCCTCTCCCTCTCCCCGCTCCCCACCTGCCCACCCAGCCGGGTCCCAGACACCACCGTCTCGCTCTCAATGGCCTATTCCAGTAGCAACAGCTTTTTCTTCAAAGATAAGTCAAGTCTGCTTACTCTCAGTTCTTCCTGTTGTGGGTCAGTATCCATCATTTAGGGGTTTAAAAGCTATGTGTAAAATTCCCCTTTCTGGTGGACTTTCATGCTCACGGCTAACATGCCCCTGTCAGGGAGGCCTGAGTTAGATGCCTGGCTCCAGCTTCTGACTTTAGCTCCCCGACAATGCAGACCCTGGGAGGCAGCAGTGACGCTTCGAGTACTCGGGTCCCTGCCACCCACGTGGGAGACCTGGACTGAGTTCCCAGCTCTCAGCTCTGACCCTGTGGCCATCGTGGGCATTTGGAGAGCTGTCAGCCTCTCAAGTACATTTTTTAAAGAAGAAAAGTAACATGTCGCTGGTTATTACAGACATAAACAAAGGCTGTTCCGGGCAAACTGGGTTTCTGGTCACCCTAGCTATAATCAGTGTGAATAAGGGGGCAAGACTGAAAAGCAGCAACTTAACCCGGACTTTGTATCTGAAGATCTATATACCAAATTATACCAAATAAAATTAGGAGTTGGAAAATCATTTCCTGCTTCAAAGGATTATATGCTTACTATTTGCTCTGTATCCACTTCCATCTCCACATTAAAAAGATAAAAGACAGCATTCAGAGAAGAGCAAAGAAAAAGGTAAAGCAGCTAGAAATGTGGTCCATTTAAAAAAGTTAAAGGAGTTTTTTTCCTCATTGGAATGGTACTGGTATTTCCAACTTTCATTTCTTTTTTTTTTTTTTTTTTTTTTTTTTACAGGCAGAGTGGACAGTGAGATAGAGAGAAAGGTCTTCCTTTTACCATTGGTTCACCCTCCAATGGCCGCCACGGCCAGCGCGCTGCAGCCGGCGCACCGCACTTATCCGAAGGCAGGAGCCAGGTGCTTCTCCTGGTCTCCCATGCGGGTGCAGGGCCCAAGGACTTGGGCCATCCTCCACTGCACTCCCGGGCCACAGCAGAGAGCTGGACTGGAAGAGGGGCAACCGGGACAGAATCCGGCGCCCCGACCGGGACTAGAACCCGGTGTGCCGGCGCCGCAAGGCGGAGGATTAGCCTAGTGAGCCGCGGCGCCGGCCCAACTTTCATTTCTAAGAACTGTATACACAGTAACATACATGAGGTTTGGCAGAAAATGCCTATTCCGGAGAAACTACACAGATTTCAAAGACTTTTTTGCACCACAATAAACTTCTCTTTGCATTCCACCCCCCACGGCCTTCCTGAAGAGCCTGCGCGGGAGCCCGCCTTACGTTGTACCGGACGTCAAGGCCGCCGGCGGGGAGCGGCTGCCTCTGCTGCAGCCTCAGGTCTCCGTTCACGTACAGCTGGGACCCGGGGACGGCGAACGAGGACTGCAGGAACGCCATGCTCTGCATCGCGAACGTCGCCATCCTCTGAAAGCGCGAGAAGCAGCGAGCAGGTCCGAGCGGCTCTGGGTTCCCAGAGTCACCCGTCCACGGCGACTCCCATACCCTCGGCCGGGCAGGAAGCACTCTGCCCCAGCCCCCGACTCCCTCACAGCCCTGTAAACTAGTGACCCCAAGGGAAGAGTTCTTAGCTGCCTCGGTCAAACCACCACCTTCATCCGGGAAAGAGCCTTCTGCTGTGCTAATCCTACAGGGCGCTGGTCCGTTGCAGGACGGGAGGGAGAGGTGGGCCTCCCTAAGCACCGACTCACGTGCAGCTGGTAGGAGAACGTCAGGATGAGCTGCACGCCGAGAACGTGCTCCGTGGGCTGCAGGGGAAGCTCCAGGCTGAAATGCAGCACGTCCATTTTCCCATCTTGGTTGCGGTCTTCTTCTCTAGTCTGGGAAAGCCACAGGGGGCCGCCCACTAAGTCTGGGAAGCAGCCACTTCACTGCTGCACAAACACAATGGCACAGGGTCCCGCTGAACCCAGGCGCCAGCTCCCTCCCCGCGACCAAGAAAGAAAAACAAACAGTCCCGGGGGAAGACACAGTGGACGTGGTCCTGAACTCCACTTGGGCTCTGCAGATGCTCGGGGCTGAACTGGATGGGCGCTTGCAGGGGCCAGAACAGCCGCCGGCAGCCGCACAGCCTGCGTCTCCTCTGATCGGCTCATTTTGTCTCGTTTGGTTTCGTTACTTGAGTTTTCCTTTTTCATAAATATGCCTGAGTTAGTATCGAAAGTTTAAGTAGCACCTCAAAACTGCTACTTCTCCAGAAGCCAATTTTCTAAAGCAGGAAAAAACAAAAACAAACAAACAAAAAAAACCACCAACCACCACCCCAATCCTAACTGGGATGTGTTCTCCAAGCCAATGGCAGATCACCAGGCCTCCCGCCATTCATGTTAGACTTTCTTTTTTTTTTTTTTTTTTAAGATTTATTTATTTATTTATTTGAAAGTCAGAGTTACACAGAGAGAAGGAGAGGCAGACAGAGAGGTCTTCCATTTTCCATTTGCTGGTTCACTCCCAATTGCCCACAACGGCTGGAGATGCGCCAATCAGGAGCCAGGAGCCAGGCACTTCCTCTGGGTCTCCCCCATGAGTGCAGGGGCCCAAGGACTTAGGATATCTTCTATTGCTATCCCAGGCTATAGCAGAGAGCTGGATTGGAAGTGGAGCAGCCAAGACTCAAACTGGTGCCCATATGGGATGCCAGCGTTTCAGGCCAGGGCTTTAACCTGCTGTGCCACAGTGCCAGCCCCTCATGGTAGAATTTCAAGCTGGGTGCATCCTCCAGTGCCAATCAACAAAATGAAAATAGAAGCTACATTCAATCAGCAGGACATTAATACCACAGATTCTCTACATCTCAGACATGCAGGTGAGAAAAACAGACGTCGGTGTGGGGGCTTCAGTTTGGAGCTCACAGTTCACATGGACGCAGGGGATGGAAACTGTTCTTCAGCCACTCTTCTGGCCTTGCCCGATGGAGATCCCGATACGCCGGGTACCGAGATGTGATCATGGCCAGCATCATTCGTCGGCACAGCTTGGAGCTGGTGGCCACGGTGTTCCTTTGCCCCTGCAGGTTCCCAGAGGATTCTCCCAGGCCACCCGGCACTCCCACCTGAGGCCTGTGTCCCGTCTCACGCTGCTTTCCAGCACTGCCATTCCGAGAGGAAGAGATTCTTGTTCTTCAGGCTAATAAGGCCATTGGAGATGAGGATGTCGTCACTAGTTTCCAGAACTTGTCAGTCATCCCCTTCCTGCTGGCCAATACGGTGCTCGTCCTGGGCCCTGTGACAGAGAGACCACTCCTCCTTCCTCTTTTGGGTACTACTCACTCGTGCTGTTCCGTCAGCTTCACAGGTGCACGGGTGATTGACAGCAGGATGGACAAGAGGCCGCCTTGTCTTGCCGCGACTTTTCTTTAGCTGGTATTGGGAAGATTCAGCAGGCAATGTGGGGTTAACTCTCCATAATGGACCCATGCCCCTGGAGCTATCAGTTGGACTGGAAGACAGGAGATCAAGTTTCTCAACTCCCAGGAGAGGCGAGTTGGCAGGAGAAAAAATGCCAGAAGAATCCAGATTCTGGCCGGCGCCGCGGCTCACTAGGCTAATCCTCCGCCTTGCGGTACCGGCACACTGGGTTCTAGTCCCGATCAGGGCGCTGGATTCTATCCAGGTTGCCCCTCTTCCAGGCCAGCTCTCTGCTGTGGCCCGGGAGTGCAGTGGAGGATGGCCCAAGTGCTTGGGCCCTGCACCCCATGGGAGACCAGGAGAAGTACCTGGCTCCTGGCTTCAGATCAGCGCGCTGCACCGGCCGCGGTGGCCATTGGAGGGTGAACCAATGGCAGAAGGAAGACCTTTCTCTCTGTCTCTGTCTCTCTCACTGTCTACTCTGCCTGTCAAAAAAAAAAAAAAAAAAAGAATCCAGATTCCAAGATAGTGTGGTGAGAAAGGAACTTGCTTCATTTGACCTTTACAATATGTATCACGCCTAAGGGAGGGGGAGCAGGCATTATCCCCGCTGTGCAGAGGAGACAATCAAGGCTCAGGGAAGCTGCAGGATGTATCAAGAGGTACACTTAGTAATACTAAAGGTGGGGTTTGAGATCAGGTCTTTGACATCACATCTAGCCCTCCTTCCCTGGATTAACATGTCTAGACTTAAAAAAAAAAGAGACAGAGTGTATTGGGATCTCCGATTGGAGATCTCCCATTTCATCCCAGATGGGGTGAAATCAACTATTTAATTCCAACTCAAAGGGAGCTTAACATACATGCCACAGCCATGAAGGCAGGCACTCAGAGAGCTACAGATTCTGCGTCAGAATCTAAAATCCAATGGGTGCGTTTTGCTAAGAGGAGTCACAAACCACACCAGCGTTTTTATTTGGGGAGGGACATGTACGATTTGGAACAGTTTTTAGGCCCACTGCGCCATGCCCCAGCAGAGCTGTAGGTACGAGCGTGCCTCGTGCTGCTCACAGGCTGAGGCTGAGAGACTGGGATCTGGGTGTGCTGACTCCTGAATCAGTGCTCCCTCTCTGACAGCTCACAAGAACTCTGGTTTCAGAGACTGCTGCTGGCTAAAGGAGCACAAGCATTTACATACGCGGGATGAAACCAGTGCTAATGTTCCAGAAAGAAAAACGCACATCAGTCTACCTGTGTCAATCAGCAAGCAGAAATGAACACAGTTCCTCTAACAGGGAGTCAGGGACAGGAGTTTGGTGTACTGTTAAGACAGCTCTTGTGGGGAGGGTGCTGTGGTACACGGGGCTGGGCTGACATTCTGGATGCCAGCATAATGCAGGGCCAGTTGGAGTTCTGGCAACTCCACTTCTGATCCAGCTTCCTGCTAGTAAATCCTATTGTCGCTCAAGTACTTGGGCCCCTGCCATCCACGTAGGAGACCCGGATGGAGTTCCGGGCTTGTGGCTTTGGCCTGGAACAGCCCTGGCTGTTGCGGGCATGTGGGAAGCAAACAGAGAAGATACCTCTACCTCACTGTCTTTCTGCCTTTCAAATAAGATGTACAAATAAAAAAAAAAATTAAAAATACACAGGGAGGGGCCAGTGCTGTGGTACAGTGGGTTAACGCCCTGGCCTGAAGTGCCGGCATGCCACATGGGCACCGGTTTGAGATCTGCTGCTCTACTTCTGATCCAGCTCTCTGCTATGGCCTGGAAAAGCAGTAGAAGACAGACCAAGCCCTTGGGCCCCTGCACCCATGTGGAGACCTGGAGGAAGCTCCTGGCTCCTGGTTTCGGATCGGCTCAGCTCCGGCCGTTGCCACCAACTGTGGAGTGAACCGGCAGATGGAAGACCTCTCTCTCTCTCGGCCGGCACCGTGGCTCAAAAGGCTAATCTTCTGCCTGTGGCACCGGCATCCCGGGTTCTAGTCCCGGTCGGGGCGCCAGATTCTGTCCCAGTTGCCCCTCTTCCAGGCCAGCTCTCTGCTGTGGCCCGGGAGTGCAGTGGAGGATGGTCCAAGTGCTTGGGCCCTGCACCCCATGGGAGACCAGGAAAAGCACCTGGCTCCTGGCTTCAGATCAGCGCGGTGCACCGGCCGCAGCAGCCATTGGAGGGTGAACCAACGGCAAAAGGAGGACCTTCTTCTCTGTCTCTCTCTCACTGTCCACTCTGCCTGTCAAAAAAAAAACTCTCTCTCTGCCTCTCCTCTCTCTGTGTAACTCTGAATTTCAAATAAATCTTTAAAAAATATATACAGGGAAAAATAGAAACATAAATATTAGAGGACTAAAGAGGCCAAAAGGGAATATGGGTTATATACAGAAATGACAACCCCAGGGAGCAAGAGAAGAAAGGCAAGAGCCTGGAGTTATCAGATCCCAGAGGCTTGACGCAGCAGCCTCGGGGAGCTGGGACTTGGACCTCAAGAAGGGAGTGCTGCCAGCTGGTGCCGGTGCCTTCAGAGCCAGGGGGAGAACGCGGGGAGGGGACCTGTAAGGTGGCAGGAGAGAGTAGTGTCTTAGTCCTGCCTCTGTTTGCTCGCTGTCCCTGTCTGCGTCACCCCAGCAACTGTTCACCCTGGCTGTGGTTTTCCCACTCCTAGCACAAGGCTCATTGTGCCTCCTACTGGCGGAGCGGGAAAGGGCCACTTGGCTGCAGGAGATGCCGCGAACTGCACAATGCGATTGGCGAGTGGGCGTGTGCCATGCCTGCATCCCATGCCGGGAGTTCCAGGTTCCTGGCTTTGGTCTGGTCCAGCTCTGGCTGTTTCAGATACTGGGGGCGTGAATCAGCGATAGAAGATTTCTCTGTCTCTGTGTCTTTCAAATAAAACAAAAATAAATAATTTTTTTTTAAAAAAAGCTCAGATGTTTCTAGTCAAATCAGTCTTGACTTGTTACATCTTGACCCATCCAGGATTTTGCAGTATCTGATGGTTTGTTGGAATTTTGTGTGGTATCTATTCATTCTTGGTTTACGAAAAGCTAGTTTCCTAATTTACTCCAATGTCCACTTCACAATATATGATGATACTTCCAAATGTCCGTGGAAAAATGGAATTAAGGGGCCGGGGCAGTGGGTTAATCAGCCTCCTGTGACATCGGCATCCCATATGAGCACTAGTTTGAGTCCTGGCTGTTCCACTTCAGATCCAGCTCCCTGCTAATGTGCCTGGGAACACAGTGGAGACGGCCCAAGCACTTGGGTCCCTGCACCCATGTGGGAGACCAGGAAGAAACTCTTGACTCCTGGCTTCAGAGTGGCCCAACGCAGGCTGTTGCAGCCATCCAAGGAGTGAACCAGCAGTTGGAAGATCTCTCTTCTCCTCTCTCTGTAACTCTGCCTTTCAAATAAATACAACCAACAAATAATCAAAAAGAAAAATGCAGTTAAGAGATAAATCTATTGGGGCACAAAAAAACTGCACAAGCCCCGCATGGTTGTTTTCGCCATGTGCACTCTCTGAATTTTTTAGACTCCGCCCTCATACTTGTTACCCCTTGGTGTTTTTGGTCCCCTTTTAGACTGGAGATTCTCCTGGTATCAGTCTTTGAGTCTCCAGCAAAGCAGGGACACTGCTTCGTGGTTCCTAGAGTCATCAAATCCTTGCTACCTGGTTTTCAAGGAATCTGACACCTCAATTACAAAATGCACCATTCTTCTTCTTCTTCTTTTTTTAAAGAGTTAGTGAGAGAGAGAGAGAGAGAGAGACAGAGAGAAAGGTCTTCATTCTGTTGGTTCACCCCCCAAATGGCTGGCACGGCCGGAGCTTCGCCGATCCAAAGCCAGGAGCCAGGTGCTTCTGGTCTCCCATGCGGGTGCAGGGCCCAAGCACTTGGGCCATCCTCCACTGCCTTCCCGGGCCACAGCAGAGAGCTGGACTGGAAGAGGAGCACCTGGGACCGGAACCCGGCACCCATATGGGATGCTGGCACCACAGGCGGAGGATTAACCAAGTGAGCCACGGCGCCGGCCCCAAAATGAGCCATTATTCTGTCTGCCAGTAAGAAAGGAAGAACACTTCCAATTAAACTATGACCCCGCACTTTCCAATCACTTCGAGTAGTTTACACCTGATGAGATGGATGCTGGATTTACACATATTTATACCACATACCACAGTCACCATGACTCAGTCGATGACCTCCATACTTTTCCACACATTCTGTCCTGTCACTGAATATGCTGATGACATGACATTTCACATTTATTTACTTTCATTTTATTTGAAAGGCAGAGAGACAGAGAGGTAGTGACAGAGATCTCTGGCCTGCTTGTCCACTCCTTAAATGCCTGCAACAGCCAGGGCTGGACCAGGCCAAAACCGGGAGCCCGGGACTCACTCCAGGTCTCCCATGTGGGTGGCAGGACCCAACCGCGTGAGCCCTCAGTGCTGCCTCCCAGGGGGCACGTTAGGCGCACGCTGGTGCTGGAAGCGGAGCCAGGACTCGAATCCAGGCAGTAGGATATGGGATGCAGGCCTCTTAACCCCAGGGCACCACGCGTCCACCGGGTGATCCCACTTAAAAAGCAATTCACAGAGTGAACTACAACACATTGTTCTGGGCAGTGCAGCAGGCTCCCCGGTCATTTGGACCCGGTGCATTGTAAAACGCTGCTTGGGAGAGGCTGAGACACCCTTCACTGCTGCCCTGGGGCTTTCTTTCCAGCAGCTCCTGCATCTCCTGCAAGCTGTGAAGCCGCCCGCCCGGTGGCTGTGTGCAGCGGGAGGCAACGAGGACTCTGCAGAGCCTGCGTCCTGGCCAGCAGCAGGCGTCAGACACCGCGGGCAGGAAGACGCCATGGTTTCGGAGGCACAGACACGCGGCAACCCCTCTTACCCCCAGCATCCTCTCTGAGCCCGCAGCACTTAACTTCTCTGGGCCCCCACACGGACCCGTCAGACCCATTAAGGGGAAAGGTCACCTGCTTTGTTCTTCTCACCCTCAACACGGCAACAAACAACAGCTGGACTTTGAAGGCACCAAAGGCAAGGTGTGGGGTGAGTGCTGCAGCTTTCCTTTTATTTGAAAGGCAGAGAGACAGAGAGGTAGTGACAGAGATCTCTGACCGGCTTGTCCACTCCTTAAGTGCCTGCTTGGGACACCCACTTCCCCAACTGCAGAGCCAGCGACTTGGAGCCCTGGCTGCTCCAGGACCCAGCTCCCTGCTAACGCATCCTGGGAGGCAGCAGGTGGTGGCTCACATGTTTGGAACCCTGAGACACGGAACTCTGGCTCCTGGCTTCTGTCTGGTGCAGCCCTGGCTGCTGCAGGCACCTGGAGAGTGAATCGGTGGGTGAAAAACTCTCCCCTCGCTCCCCAGGTCATTTTGCCTTTCAAACAGATGAAAATAAACACTTTAAAAGGTATCTTATAGGCCAGTGCCGCGGCTCACTAGGCTAATCCTCTGCCTTGCGGCGCTGGCACACCGGGTTCTAGTCCCGGTCCGGGGGCCAGATTCTGTCCCGGTTGCCCCTCTTCCAGGCCAGCTCTCTGCTGTGGCCCGGGAGTGTAGTGGAGGATGGCCCAAGTGCTTGGGCCCTGCACCCCATGGGAGACCATGAGAAGCACCTGGCTCCTGCCATTGGATCAGTGCGGTGCGCCGGCCGAAGCACGCCAGCCGTGGCGGCCATTGGAGGGTGAACCAACGGCGAAAAAAAAAAAGAAGACCTTTCTCTCTGTCTCTCTCTCTCACTATCCACTCTGCCTGTCAAAAAAAAAAAAAAAAAAAAAAAAAAAGGTATCTTATAAAATAATATTAATCAAAGAGAAGGGGGGGACTTTAGAGATGCTGTCCAAGGTGAGCTGACCAAAGCAGAACCCAGGCTGTTTGTGACTTCCGAGGCATTTTCCCAAATTAGCAGTCACCAAGATGCCTCCCCGCACTTGGTTCAACCTTGACTGAGGACCGCTGTTTCTGTAGCTTCCTAGACAGTTTCGCAGACAGCTTGAAGCCAGTCGGGCTTTATGTTCAGAGTCAGAAAATAAAAGTATTTTGCTGTAACAAAGGTTGAGAGTCTAGGGGCCAGTGCTGCGGCATAGCAGGTAAAGCTACCGTCTGCAGGGTCGGCATCCCAGGTGCTGGTTCGAGTCCCAGTTGCTCCACTTCCAATCCAGCTCTCTGCGGTGGCCTGGGAAAGCAGTAGAAGATGGCCCAAGTCCTTGGGCCCCTGCACCTGTGTGGCAGACCTGGCAGAAGCTCCTGGCTCCTGGCTTTGGACTGGTGCAGCTCTCACTGTCGTGCCCAATTGAGGAAGGAACCAGCGATGGAAGACCTCTCTCTCTCTCTGCCTTTCCTTTTCTCTCTGTGTAACTCTGACTTTCAAATAAATAAATAAATCTAAAAAAAAAAAAAAAAAAAAGAATTAAGAACCAGGGCTAGCATTGTGGCGCACTGGCTGTAGGGGGTAGGGGAAGAAAATATTCCATTCGAGGCCGGCGCCGCGGCTCACTAGGCTAATCCTCCGCCTAGCGGCGCCGGCACACCGGGTTCTAGTCCCGGTCGGGGCGCCGGATTCTGTCCCGGTTGCCCCTCTTCCAGGCCAGCCCTCTGCTGTGGCCAGGGAGTGCAGTGGAGGATGGCCCAGGTGCTTGGGCCCTGCACCCCATGGGAGACCAGGAGAAGCACCTGGCTCCTGGCTCCTGCCATCGGATCAGCGCGGTGTGCCGGCCGCAGCGCGCCGGCCGCGGCGGCCATTGGAGGGTGAACCAACGGCAAAGGAAGACCTTTCTCTCTGTCTCTCTCTCTCACTGTCCACTCTGCCTGTCAAAAAAAAAAAAAAAAAAAAAATTCCATTCGGTGGTACACTCCCCAAATGGCACGATGGCCAGGGCTCGGACATGCTGAAGCCAGGAACCAGAAGCTTATTCCAGGTCTCCCACATGGATACAGGGCCGCAAGCACCGGGCCATCCTCCACTGCTTTCCCAGGCACATTAGCAGGGAGCTGGATCGGAAGTGGGGCAGCCAGGATTCGAACCAGTGACCATATGGAATGCCAGGGCTTTAACCCGCTGTACCACAGTGCCAGCCCCAAAATTACCCAGTATGAAAGTGATCTCATGGTATGGGTACCATAAACATTAAGAGTTAGTTTTGGCTTCTCATTAAAATTGGAACTGCACGCCAGATGCAAGGGGGGACCAGGGCGGTGCACTGAAGGGAGTGGTTGGTTTCTGGTTGCAGAGCTAAGAGGCCAACAGCAGCTGTGTTGCACGAACCCGTAAAAACAATGAATGAATGAAACTTAATGGTTTATCCTTGTCTTCACAATTATCTCAAGCCTGCATGGTATTTCTTAGACTCAAATGACCAGAAGCACATGATAGAGAGGAATATAAACATGTGGAGAAAAAACCTGGGGCTAGTGCTGTGGCACAGTGGGTTTGACCTCTGCCTGCAGCGCCAGCATCCCCTATGGGCACCGGTTCAAGTCTTGGCGGCTCCACTTCCAATCCTGCTTCCTGCCACTGTTCCTGGGAAAGCAGCAGAAGACGGCCCAAGTACCTGGGCCCCTGACACCGACGTGGGAAACTGGGTACTTTCCTAATTAAAATAAGTCAATAGGGGCTGGCACTGTGGCGCAGCGGGTTAACGCCCTGGCCTGAAGCACCGGTATCCCTTATGGGTGCAGGTTTGAGACTCGGCTGCTCCACTTCCGATCCAGCTCTCTGCTGTGGCCTGGGAAAGCAGTAGAAGATGGTCCAAGTGCTTGGGCCCCTGCACCCACTTGGGAGACCTGGAAGAACCTCCTGGCTCCTGGCTTTGGATCGGTGCAGCTCTGGCCGTTGCGGCCAACTGGGGAGTGAACCATCAGGAAGACCTCTCTCTCTCTCGCTTTGCCTCTCCTTTCTCTGTGCAACTCTCATTTTCAAATACATAATAAATCTTAAAAAAAAAAAAAAGCCAATAAATTTCAGAAGTAACCAGAGAAAAACTATCTGTAACAAACTTTCTAGTTATTCATACGACCTATCATCTTTTTGCTGGGAACATTTTTTACACGAGTTTGTCTTGTAGGCCACTCACCTCAAGGACGTGGAAGAAGGAAAACTAGAAGTTTCGGCCCTCTTAAAGAAAAAGTCTCAATTTTACCCCGGACAGATGCACGCTGGAGCAGCCTCTGAGATCACGTGGGGCAGGCTCCCTCCGCCGGGGCCCTGCCGGGGAACAGGTGCGGGGCGCCCGGTCTCCGAGGGTCAGTCCTGCCCGGAGACGCCCGCCCCCGACCCCCAGCTTCCGCCGCGCCGCGTGAACGCGGCGACACCGCGGGACCCCGAGCGCGCACCGTGCCCGGCCCGGGTCAGCACGCAGCGCTGCCCGGGTACCTGGGCGTCTGGGGGAAGCGGAATTCCAGGCGGGAGCCACGCACCGAGACGAGCGGGACGCGCAGGCGATCCCCCTGCAGCCGGTTGAAGGCGGGGAAGGTGCTCCAGGCCAGGAAGCCGTCGCGCTCCGGTCCCAGCAGGGCCACGAGCAGTACCTGGTGTTGGAAGCGCACGGTCGGCTGCTCCTCGTAGCTGCTCCGCTTCAGCCAAAACCCTGAGAGAAGAAGGGCGTGAGAGGGAGAGGGGGACAGGTCAGGCAGGCCGTCCCGAGCGGAGGCGGTGGCGCGCACCGGCCTAGCAAGCTCACCGTGGCTCCGGAAGGCCACCAGCAGCGGCGGGATGTAGGTGAGCGCGGCGGCCAGGAGCAGGAACAGCGCTGCCTTGGAGCAGAGCCCCGCGCGGTAGCCGCGCTCGGCCGGGTGGGAGTAGAGCTGGTACAGCGCCATGGACGGCGCACGCCGAGACCCCTACGCAAACCGAGAAGGGACGACCAAGTTTGGCTGTTCCCGGCTGCCATCGTCGTGGTCTCCACGGCAACCGGCGGCGCCGGGAGGAGGACCAATAGTAGCGGCGCGGGCCTCTAGAAGGGGCGGAGCTACCTGGAGAGGGGCGTGGTCAGCCAGTGGACGGGCCACCGAGAGGGGGGCGTTGCGTGTTTTGCTTCGGGACGGCTGAGGACGGCTGAGTGGTCCACGCTGATGCCCGCAGGTCGCACACGCGTGGCCTCGCTCCTCGACCTGGTCCTGGACGAAGGCCAAGGCCGGGTTGCTCCGCCTCTGTGTTCTGTGGCTCCGGAAGCAGGACAGCGCACAGGACCCAAACCCTCGGCTCTGGGGCGGGCAGGGTCATTACTACGTACATTGTTACCTGTATTGGGTGCAGGTTCGGCTGCCGGTTTCAGAGGGAGCTACTAAACAAGATACATTTCTTTTTAAAAATATTTATTTGAAAGAGTGACAGAGGGAGGCAGAGATCTTTCAACTGCTGGTTCGCTCCCCCAAATGGCCCGAGGAGCCAGGAACTCCCTCTGGGTTTCCCACTTAAGGGCAGGGGCCTGAATATCTGGGCCATCATCATCTGCCTCCCAGGATGCCCGAGCAGGAAGCTGGAGTGGAAGCCGACCAGCTGGGACTTGGCACTCCCCTCTGGGACGTGTTGTGCAGTGGGTTAAGCCTTTTTTTTTTTTTTTTAAGGTTTAATAATTTATTTGAAAGAGTTACAGGGAGAAGGGGAGAGAGATCGTCCATCCGCTGGTTCACTCCCCAAATGGCCGCAGCAGCCAGGACTGGGCCAGGCCAAAAACAGGAGCCAGGAGCTTCAACTGGGTCTCCCACTGGGGTGCAGGGGCCCAAGCACTTGGCCCCTCCTCTGCTGCTCTCCCAGGTGGAAAGTGGATTGGAAGTGGAGCAGCCAGGACTCAGTTGGCACCCACAAGGGATGCTGGCCCTGCAGATGGTGGCTTAACCCGCTGCACCACAGTGCTGCCCCAGTGGGTTAAGTCGTACTTCCCAAAGATAACATTGGTTTATTGCTAATTGATTGCCCACCGCCTTCTCTGCCAAGCCAGTATTTTGAACAGGGTGGAAGGATTTTTAAAACCTATGATCCAAAAGAAAGGAAAAGAAAAAAAAAAGTAAGCAAACAACAAAAAAAAAGAAAAATAAATAATAAAACCAATGGTCCACAGCCAAGTTCTCCATCCAAAGGCCCTGAAGACTCCAGTTGCAGGATCAGGAGTCAGTGTGGGGGCCGGTGCTGTGGTGTAGTGGGTAAAGCCACCGCCTGCAGGGCCAGCACCCCATATGGGTGCCAGTTCGATTTCTGACTGTCTGCTTCGGTTCCAGCTCTCTGCTATGGCCTGGGAAGGCACTGGAGGATGGCCCAGGTCCTTGGGCCCCTGCACCCACATAGGAGACCCGGAGGAGGCTCCTGGCTTCACACTGAGGCAGCTCTGGCCGTTGTAGCCATCTGGGGAGTGGACCTGTGGATGGAGGACCTCTCTCTCTTTCTGCTTCTACCTTTCTGTAACTCTGCCTTTCAAATAAATAAAATAAATCTTAAAAAAAATCAGTGTGAAGGTTTGTGCTTAGCAGCAGTAGTTGATGCACTATTTTGAAAGCAGCCTAGAAGTGGCTTTCCCAGAAAGAGAACAGCTTAGAGGCTGCCAGCAGAGGCCAACAGAAAGGGATCGAGCCCTGCCCAGTGAGGACAACCATTCCAGGGTCCTCACTGCAGTCCAAGCTGATAATTAATGTCATGAGTCATAATAATGATAGACCAACCCTCTCCTCACCATTGCTTGAAAGCTTTAGTGGGAAAGGGGTGCTCATATAGTTCTTTTTTTTTTTTTTAAGGTTTTTTTATTTATTTATCTGACAGAGTTACAGACCATGAGAGAGAGAGACGGAGAGAAAGGTCTTCCCTCTGTTGGTTCACTCCCCAAATGGCCGCTATGGCCGGCGCTGTGCCAATCTGAAGGCAGGAGCCAGGTGCTTCTCCTGGTCTCCCATGCGGGCGCAGGGCCCAAGCACTTGGGCCATCCTCCACTGCCCTCCTGGGCCACAGCAGAGAGCTGGACTGGAAGAGGGGCACCCGGGACCAGAATCTGGCGCCCATATGGGATGCCGGCGCCGCAGGCAGAGAATTAACCAAGTGAGCCACGGCGCCGGCCCCTGCTCATATAGTTCTTAGATGCAGCACCTCTTAGATCTGTGGCATGGTTCTTCCATATCTGTGCGTTAAGTGGACAACTTGCAGCTACTTAAATAACCACTCAACGAAGGTCTTGTGGAACAGATGGGCCTACAGACTTCTGAGGGTAAGAAGGACGCCTGTGCTTCCAGGGTTTCTTCCGACAGGAGGAACACACACCGCGGTAAGTCACTGCTGAGACAGGAGGAGAGCACACTGTATGAAATGCTTGAGTCTCCCACGAGATGTCACAAACCTCGCAAAAGTAAATATAGCAGTGGACAATAATGCAGCATCCTGGCTTCCATGATTTAAAGCAGCTAGTGTTTGTGACTTTATTTCAATTCTTTGAGACAGAATATTACATTTTAAAATGCCATTTGTGTGTTTCATGCCATTTTCACACAGTTAAGGCTGAGAACTGACTTTGCAGTTTCCATCTCCATACTGTTCTTCATGTTTCATACAGTTTACCTCCAAGAACAGTCATTCTCTTCAAGCTGCATGTCTTGATCACGTTCCTCTCCTTTACAGGAGCTTCTACTCCGGGTCTCCGGAGTCAGCTTTGGAGTCCTCAGCACTGGCTTCCAGGCGTTCCAACACTTCTTTCACCTTGGCACCCATCTCTCTGCAGCTCCTCTTCCACTGGTGGCCTTTGTTTGTGTCTGGAAAGAAAAATGTACCCGTTCCTCTGCATCCTCAGATCCACAGTCCCTGCGAAGTCCTTCTCCCTACGCCTCACCTGGCTTTGTGTTGGCCCCATCCCTCGCCCTGGCCGTACCTCGGGTATCCGTGCGTGCGCATCTCTCCAGCATTTTAACAACTCATCCTGCACGTCCTATAGGTTGTTAACGTGGAATTGCACGGATTCATTATCCTTCTCCTCCTGACCCCTCCTCAACTAACCACCCCCTCAAGGACAGATCCAGTGTCCTTGGAGCATTCTGTGGGCTCATTACAATGAGCCGAGAAGGTGATGGATGCCTCTCATCAAGGCAGCTCAGAGAAGCCATTTCAAAAAATGAACAGGGGCCGGCGCCGCGGCTCAGTAGGCTAATCCTCTGCCTTGCGGCGCCGGCACACCGGGTTCTAGTCCCAGTTGGTCGGGGCGCCGGATTCTGTCCTGGTTGCCCCTCTTCCAGGCCAGCTCTCTGCTGTGGACCGGGAGTGCAGTGGAGGATGGGCCAAGTACTTGGGCCCTGCACCCGCATGGGAGACCAGGAGAAGCACCTGGCTCCTGGCTTTGGATCAGTGCGGTGCGCCAGCCGCGGCGGCCATTGGAGGGTGAACCAACGGCAAAGAAAGACCTTTCTCTCTGTCTCTCTCACTGTCCACTCTGCCTGTCAAAAAATAAAAATAAATAAATAAATAAATAAACAAACAAACAGGAAAAACACAGCAGGAAAGTAGTAAGCATGGAAGACAGAAAGACAATGCAGGTCATCACTGGGACCATCGGGGACATGCCTATGAGCTGATGAGCAGCGACCTTGCCCCTAAAAGGGTACTAGGCACCTCCACAGGGGACGTGATAAACACATCTCTGGGACTGTGGCACAAATCCAACTAGGTAAAGGCAAACAGAGGTCTTGAGTCCAACTTCTAACTCCTCCACTGATTTACTGACTTCAGTGTTCAGTTTTTTATCTGCAAAATAGCTACTTTCATTCATGTAGCTAATTTCATCCAGTTCAGTAGCTTTAGATACTTCTTTCCTAGGGCCATTCACCCATTCTTCAGCTTCACTTGGATGTGTCTCTTGGGTTTCTCATATTTAATACATCTAAAACCAAACTTTTGGGGCTGGCATTGTGACATAGTGGGAAAAGCCACCGCCTGTGATGCTGGCATCCGTAGGGGTTTGGTTTGATTCCTGACTGCTCCAGTTCTGATCCAGGTCCCTGCTAATGGCCTGGGAAAAGAAGCCAAAGATGGCCCAAATTTTTGGGCCCCTGCCACCTATGTGGGAGACTGGAAGAAGCTCCTGGCTCCTGGCTTCTGATCAGCGCAGCTCTGGTGGTTGCAGCCATCTGGAAGACCTCTCTCTGTCTCTCTCTGTCTCTGTCTCTCTGTCTCTCTCTCTCTGCCTCTGTAACTCTGCCTTTCAAATAAATAAATTAATCTTTAAAAAAAAAAAAGAAATAAAACCAAACTCTTGATTCTAATCCTGCATGCTAGCTCCACCCTATTTCAGTAAATGGCCATTCCATCCTTGAAAAAACCTTGACTTTAACTTATCCCTCACATCTCACAACCAATCTGTCAGAAAATTTGTCAGCTCTACCTTCAACATATATCCAGAGCACAAGTGCTTCCCAGCATGTCCCCAGATACCATCTTGGTTTAATCCAACATGATCTTTCACCTGGATTTTCACAATAGCCTCTTAACTATTTCCCTGCTTCCACCTTTACGCCCCCATAGTCCACTGTTAACACAGAAGCTAGCCTGGTCATTGAAAAAGGAAGATTGTATTATGCCTGTACTTAAAATCCTCCACTGCTCATCTAAATGTATATAAAATCCAAAGTTCTTTGCAAGAAATTCAAAGTTCAACAGTTTTGTTCTAGATGACTTTGATCCCATCTCCTAATACAATCCTCATTGTTTACTTACTTTCAGTGGCAGGGTTTTTAGGGGCACACATAGCCCTCCATTGCTTTCCCAGGTACATTAGCAGGGAGATGGATTAGAAGTGCAGCAGCTGGGACTCGAACCGGCAACCATATGGGATGCCGGCACAGCAGGCCAGGGCTTTAACTCCTGTGTCACAGAGCCTGCCTTGCGGCAGGGTTTTTAGTCAGCACTCTATCCCACCATCACCGTCTAGTCATCTACTTCATTTTGTTCTTCTAACCAGCACTTATTAGCATATCACATATTTATTTTTGGCCTTGTCTCATGGGAATGCAGCCTCCATGGGAGCAGTGGTGTTGTCTGTTCACCGCTCTGTCCCTTGCGCCTGGGGCAGTGAGTGTGCTTGTGTACCACAACACCAGTTTCTTTCTTTCTTTCTTTCTTTCTTTTCTTTTCTTTTCTTTTCTTTTTTTTCTTTTTTTTTTTTGACAGGCAGAGTGGATAGAGAGAGAGAGACAGAGAGAAAGGTCTTCCTTTGCCGTTGGTTCACCCTCCAATGGCCGCCGCGGCCGGCGTGCTGCGACCGGCGCACCGCGCTGATCTGATGGCAGGAGCCAGGTGCTTCTCCTGGTCTCCCATGGGGTGCAGGGCCCAAGCACTTGGGCCATCCTCCACTGCACTCCCGGGCCACAGCAGAGAGCTGGCCTGGAAGAGGGGCAACCGGGACAGAATCTGGCGCCCCGACTGGGACTAGAACCCGGTGTGCCGGCGCCGCTAGATGGAGGATTAGCCTATTGAGCTGCAGCGGCAGCACCAGTTTCTAAGTATGAAACTCAAAGGATTTTCCACTTCGTTAACAAACCCTCTTCTGGCTGTTGAGACACGCAACCGTAAATGCACAGAAATACTTGTAGACTGAACCCTGCATTCCACAGCATCCGTGGGGAATTCGATCTGTAGGAAGTGATGGATGACATTATTCAAACACACAGGCCTTTTGGATGCAGCAGAATCACAAGCATGTAGCAGGGGTCATGTGCCCAATTAGATGAATGTTCCGGTCACATGTTCACCAGCTAATAAACAGATGGTGACCCAGGACACCCTGCCCTGGTGACTCTGCTTGGAAGAAAGGAATCACATCGCTGAGTGGAGAACCTCAAGGCTACGTGCAGGCAGGTGACACAGAGGGCCCGGCTGTGCCTGCTAAGCCACTCCCACTGCCCAACAAGGAAACCTGCCCCGTGACCAGCACTCAGAGGAATTCCGGCCTGGCAGTCACCTCTAACTTCCCTGCTGGGTGAAGGTTAAGGGATCGCTGTGTGGCCGCTGATGTCACACAAGCATTTGTGACACCCTCCATATGCATCCACACGTATATTCGTGGATCAAGGAAGGAAATGGGATTCCTGTATGATTTCTGGATTCAAGGTAACCTAGCATGGCTGACCTCAGTGCAAGACCCCCTGGACGTCATCAGCTCCCCTCCCCACACACAGCCCTCAAACTGCCAACACTCCCCTATGCTGAGTCCCCCACCCCTCACCGCTGCAAATATCCCCCAAACTGTCAACGCCCTAACAAGAGACCACTCTTCTGTCATTCATATTCCTAAATACCCTTCTGGTCAGCACCGTCCCAGACTTCCCCTATGAACAACCCTAAGAGCCCTAGCCTCTCAGCCACGCCCCCAAAAGTCTTCCGTATCAGTCACCAACGCCCTGGCGCCCCACCCCCGTCACAGGTCCTCCAGCAGTCCTCCCCCGACCCAGTAGCCAGTAGCCCTCAAGACACCCCTGCCACCAGCGCCACAGCCCGATCGCCCCCTGCGCCCCTAGTGCGGCCCCGCCCCCTGGAGCGGCGACCCTGCGGGCGGCGCCGGAAGCCCCGCCCCTGCCAGTTGCTAGGCTCCGGCAGCCGGAAGTCCCGCCTGCCGTGTAGTCGCTGCCGTCGTTGTTGTTGTGGTCGGTTCGCTGAACTCCGCGGCTCCCGAGAGCCGGCTGCGTCCCCTCGCTGCCGCCGCCATGAAGTGGATGTTCAAGGAGGACCACTCGCTCGGTAAGCTCTCGGCCGCCGGCCGGCCGGCCCGCGGGGAGTGGGGGCGGCGGGTGGGCCCCCTCCCCCACTCGGGCCGCCCTGGGCCGGGTCGGGCGGGGCGGATGCTGCGCTCCGGGCTCGGGTCGCCGAGGGCCCGGGCCGTCGTGGGCAGCCGCCCCCTGGCCCGGTGCGGCCCTCTGCGGCCCCTCCTCCGGGAGCCCGGGGGCAGAGGACCGCGGTCGCGGAGACACCGGACGAGGGCCGGGGCTTGCGCAGGTCGCCGGGGGAGGAGGACCGCGAGGGCCTGGGGCCCGGCACCGGCCCGGCGGGCAGGCGCCGCCGTCAGCCCGGTGTGTTTCTCTCTCAGAACACAGATGCGTGGAATCCGCGAAGATCCGAGCGAAATACCCCGACCGGGTTCCGGTGAGTGTGGGACTCCCCGCCCCCTCGCCCTGCTGGCTCCCCTGTCCCCTGCCCGGGAGCGGCGACGGGGCCCAGCCGTGCGACACTGGGTGAGCTGAGGTTCCGGACCCCGCTTGGCGTGGCCGGCGGTCCCCCGGCCGGGGTCGAGGGGCTGGGGCTGGTGCTGTTCAGGTGCCTCAGTGCTGAATCTCCCGATCTGGGCCAGCGAGCTGTCTACAGCCCCAGGGCTCCCTGGCCAATTACGTAAGGAACGATGTTCTAGGACAGGGCAACAGGTCACTGCCACTTTTGGGAACGGTGGCGGAGCGACTCACCGTGGTCCTGGAAGCGGCCCTTAGGTTTCGGGACGTGCAGTCTTTCACTCTGCGTGTCGGGCTCGCGGACTTCTCGTTCCTCTTGTGCACGGGGACCATGTCGTCTTGCCTGACCGAGGATGCTGCAGAGCTGCGGGGAGTCCCTTCTCCCGGGTCTCCTTTTAGTCAGTGATGCATTCGCGCCTGTAGTTTGTGGTCCGTGTTGGTTTGGAGAGGTTCCCCTGGGGAGGGCACAGACCCGAAAGCTGTTCAGAGAAGCGACAGGCCACCCGAGGAGCCTGCCAGGCAGCCCAGCGGCCCGCCCGTGCTTGCCGGCTGTGTCCGTGGGCCCTCAGTTCTGCAGCGTGGAGGTGGGTCCACTCTGGGGTCCTGGAGGAAGCGGCTGTACAGGAAACACCCACCAGGCATTCTCAGATCTGCCCAGATGAGATGTTGAAAGCCTCGGTAGCTGATTCTTCGGCATGCCGCGATCAGGATGAGAGGCTTAATTGACCACAGAGAAGCACTTACTGTTTCCCCATAATAGATGTGTAGCAGTTCCTGACGTCCAGATCGTGTGGCTGCTGGAGCCGGCGGGGTCTGGCCATGCTCGGCTGTTTCCCACCCAGCTCCTTGCCCACACTCTGCCCATCAGTGCCCCGCCAGTGTGGGGGAAGAGCCTCACGGGAAGAGACCCAGTCTTGACTTCTCTTTACTTTCCCAGGTGATTGTGGAAAAAGTCTCAGGCTCCCAGATTGTCGACATTGACAAACGGAAGTACCTGGTTCCATCTGACATTACTGTGGCTCAGTTCATGTGGATCATCAGGAAGAGGATCCAGCTCCCTTCTGAAAAGGCGATCTTCCTGTTCGTGGATAAGACAGTCCCACAGTCCAGGTGAGGTGCTGCCACACAGACCTCCGAGGGGGACGTCTGCCCGGCTGCTTAACACCACCAGACCCTTGGGAGGCCTCGGGATCTGCCTGGAATCTGGGTTTTATGGTCCCTGACACCAGGAGCGCCAGGAAAACAAGAAAGGGCTGCCATAAATGGGAGTGCACTTTGGATTAAGAAAATAGAACGAAGCCTAGACGGAAGAAAAAGAAAAACCCAGGCTCAGCCACCCAAGAATACTGGGAAATAGTCGAGCACGCAGGTCGGCCTAAGCCGTAGGTAGAACAAGGTATCAGACGAGGTTTCTCACGGGACCGTGAGGTCGCCCCTGCTGCTCTGTCAGGAGCTCTGGGCCTCCTGGGGCTCAGCTTCAATTGATCACCTGCTTGCTTCTCCTCACTTCCGTCAGCTCTTTGCCTTGGTGAGACGAGCGCCCAGCCCCCAGCACTTGTGGCCCCAGTTCACTCGATGCAGCCACTTGCTCAGTTGAGGTTATTCTTACAAGTGTGTTTATAAACACGAGGCATGTGACGTGCCTGAGGAAACGGCTGCTGCTCAGGAAAGGCTCTGAGGGCTCTCTGCGCTCTTTTACCGGCCTCGGCACCTCCTGCTTTGACTGCCACAGTGCTGTGCTGCCTGGAAGCCGCCTTTGGGATTCAGTTGTGACTTGGGGCCTGAATCTAGGCAGGGCTGTCACAGTTCCCCTCTTTGGTATAACTGACAGGCCAGCCTTAGTCCTCTTGGAATGGGGCACAGGGACTGGCTCAGTCTAAACTCCTGGTCACTCCATTGCCTTTACTGATTGGGCACTTCTAGGCCTGGAGCCAGATTCTGGACCCACCTTTTTGCTGAATGTGAATTCCTGGCCACATCTTCCCTTAGTGACCCAAACAAGGTTTCATTTGATGTCCTGTACAGTAGTAATTGTAAAAACTGAAGCTTTGAGATGCCCTAAGAACTAGACCAGTGTCGCTGAAATGCTTTCCTTTTTAAAAATCTGAAATACCCAGAAGAGGCCTAAGCCAAATTCCAGACCTTACTTCTGCTACCGGTGGAAAGCTTGGCTTTGGTCTTACTTCCTCCTTCCTGATCTCCACTTACTCTGCTTCCTAGTGTTGGTAGCGAGGCAAGCAGGGAAGAAACGGAGGCCTCTATGCTAAGGCCAACATCCAGCTTGAGGAGACGCTGGGCACCTCTGCTCTGCTACGTGAGGGACCTTACCACTGTCGGTTCTTCCTTGCGGGCCTCAGCACTGTGTTCCTGGGGGTGCTCTTCCTCGGGGGAGAAAGCCTTGGGCAACCGTGGTCACTCTTAGCTTCCCTTAAGGTAGCGGTGGAGGCCAGTCTTCCTAGAACCCCTGCGACTTCTGCAGTCTGGCTGACCCTGTGCTGCCTCCTCGCGGGAGGTGGGAGCTTAGTGGGGGAAGTGGGAGCCTGGCTGCGACAGCCGATTTTCCTGATTCTGGGTCTCGAGTACCTGAAGGAAAGCAGCAGGCTGCTGGAGACGTGAAGCGTACTCCGGGGGCGCCACAGAAGTCTAGCAATTAAAATGGCTACGAGTCTTACCAACTGCTCCTCCCCCAGTATCCCTGAGGTATAAATAGAATTGGAAATGAAAAATGTTTCTCAGGGCTGCTTCACGGCCAGTTTTTGACCCCATTTGCCTTTCTGATCTGCGGAGAACCCACCCTGAAACTGAATGCGGTAGACTCCTGTCAGGATTTTAGGACAAACCTACCAGGAGCCCAGATCCTACCCTGCGGAGTTAAGGGTGTTGGAGCCACCACCCTTCTGCCCAGCCCCTCAGCACTTCTGCCCCAGTAATGACTTCTCACCCCACACCGATGCAGCCACTTGTTCATGTGAGGATTTTATTCTTACAAAGTTGTTTATAAACAAAAGAGGCATGTGACGTCATCAGGCTATATGCAAATATAATTACCCCTTAGCAACACAGGGTGCCAGGGTCCCCTTCAAGTGTGACTCAGCTCCTCCTCCTCCTCCTCCTCTCCCTCGCCACCCCAGGCAGTCCTCAGCCCCTTCCTCAGCTCTTCCAGCTGTCCTTAGTGGAGAGAGGAGCGTCCTTCAACCTCCTCCCAGTGCTGGTCGTCTGCAAAGAGCGTGGGGAAGGTCAGAGGAGAGAAGGGTGTGTCCAGACCTGTGGAGCCCATCCCTCCCCTCACTGGCAGGTCTGCACGGGGATCACTTACGCCTGAGCCAGAGGCAGTGACTTCGGGTATTTCTGCTACAGAGAGGGACGCAGGTGCTCACCACGTAAATGTCACGTTACTGTGAAGGTAGTATGAAATGTTGATTCTCAAAACAGAGGCCGAGGCAAATCCCTGTTTCACTTCCTTGATTCAGAGTTCTTGTTTTGCTATAACTGTGGGGAATCACAGCTGCCTTTCCCCTTCAGCATTGCAAAGCTGAATTCTCTGCCTAGATTCCCGCATCAGAATCAGGTGAAAACCAGAAGGGAACTGTGCCTTGGTACAGACGGAACTTGAGAAAGAACACCAGGGTACAAGGATCCCAGCTGTGGCCTTACAGGGAACCCAGACCTGGCTCTTTGGTCTTTCGTTTAGAATGCAGATAAGAGTCCTGTTGCTCCCTTGTTTAGAAAATAAACTGTAGTATATTACTAAAACAAAATCTCTAGGATGTTATAATTTGACATGGGGAAACCTGTGATGGTTAAGGTTGTGATGTTTAGCTGCTTCTAAATCTTAAGACTTTTTTTTTTTTTTTAATTTATTTATTTATATGAAAGTCAGAGTTACAGAGAGAAGGAGAGGCAGAGAGAGAGAGGTCTTCCATCCGCTGGTTCACTCCCCAGTTGGCTGCAATGGCCAAAGCTATGCCGATCCGAAGCCAGGAGCCAGGAGCTTCTTCCAGGTGTCCCAAGCAGGTGCAGAGGCCCAAGGACTTGGACATCTTCTACTGCTTTCCCAGGTCACAGCAGAGAGCTGGATTGGAAGAGGAGCAGCTGAGACTTGAACCGGCGCCCATATGGGATGCCGGCACTGCAGGTGGCAGCTTTACTCGCTATGCCACAGTGCTGGCCCCAAGACTTCAGTATTAAATATGGCCTTGTGTTTGGGTGCAGCAGGTTAAGCTGTGGTTTGTGATGCTGGCATATGTGCCGGTTCAAGTCCTAGTTACTCTGCTTCCAATCCAGCTTCCTGCTAACGCTCCTGGGAAGGCAGCAGAATATGGCCCAAGTGCTTGGGCCCCTTTCCCCCATGTGAGAGACCAGGATGGGGTTCCTGACTTTTGGCTTTGGCCTGGCCCAGATCTGGCTGGTGAGGCAGTGTGGGGAGAAAACCAGTGAATGAAGGATGTCATATATTATAGTCCATCTTTTATATTTAGAAATGTGCTGGCCGGCACCGCGGCTCACTAGGCTAATCCTTTGCCTGTGGTGCCGGCACACCGGGTTCTAGTCCCGGTTGGGGCACCGGATTCTGTCCCGGTTGCCCCTCTTCCAGGCCAGCTCTCTGCTGTGGCCAGGGAGTGCAGTGGAGGATGGCCCAAGTGCTTGGGCCCTGCACCCCATGGGAGACCAGGAGAAGCACCTGGCTCCTGCCATTGGATCAGCGCAGTGCGCCGGCCGCGGTGGCCATTGGAGGGTGAACCAACGGTAAAGGAAGACCTTTCTCTCTGTCTCTCTCACTGTCCACTCTGCCTGTCGAAATAAGACAAAAACAGTATACTGCTCTTTCAAATCGTGTCTTAAATCAGCACTTTTGAAAATTTATAGGTAAATACCTTTTCAATAAGTTTATATTTAAAAAATCTGGTAAAAAAAAAAACCAACCAATAGTTAATCTTTATATTTTACAATCTTTAGGGCCACATTCACTTTTACTTTGTGGCTAGTGCCTTCCCAGGATCCGTGGTAGTGGTCATTGGTCTCTTCCTCACCTAGCCCCTCTTGCTCTGCTGGCAGAGAGAAGTCCAGGTTGAGAGGAAACCTATCAGCTCCTCAGCAGACGGCTGGCCAGATGTGCTCCTCAGTGCCGCCAGCTCAGCAGGCAGGCAGGGTCAGCCTCCATGACTTGTCCTTGGTCAGAGCCAGGGGCAGGTGCCATGTGATCAACCGCTCATAATTCACAGAATTTTGAGTAGCAGAAAGCTAGTGTTTGCGCTGAGCAACGTGGTCATTCCTGGAGATGGTGCCTACTTACATTTGTGTTTTTTGTTGGTTAGTTTCCCCACTGGAGACATGGGTTTTCCTGGATCATGTTACCTTGAATGGAGTAGGGGAGAGTAAGGTTTTAGGGGGCAATTTAGGTTCACCTCACTTGATACTTCAAGGGCCTATCTCACTTCAGATAGGCTGCATGGTTTAAACCTGCCATTGGCTTTTTCCCCTTTCTTTCATTAGACCAGAGTTTGGAAGGAGGCAGTGTTTGCAAGAGTCCTTGGTGTCACAGTGTGGAGTGGGCATTAGTACGGGGGTCAGAGGCCGTTTTTCTGTCTTCTCCAGCCACGTCCTGGTAACACAGAGCTGCCTCTGCCTCAGGCCCTGAGGCATTCCAGCAGTGCTCTGTGACCTGCCCGGTGCCATGTGGCTCAGGCCTTGGGATTCTGAGGGACACTCATCTTCCCCGAGGTTTGTAGAATGTGTCTTAGGCTGACACACCAGCTGCCTGCTGACTAGGGTCACATCTTGGTGGCCCCCCTCCACGCCTACATGCACACTTGAGTATGTGGCCCAGCCCCTTCTGGCTCCAGGCCAAGTCAGTCTGACTGCATGTATGTGGTCCAATCCCTTAAGTGCTAATTTCAAACCAGTACACTGTAGACTGTTTCATGGCGGTCAGTGAAACCTGAGTCTGGCAGGTGTTCACCACTGCCCAGGGATATCCCTAAAGTAAGGACACAGTGCTGCTGTCAGCTAAGTGAGGTTTCCACGTGAGGTCGAGGACAGAAAAGAAGGGTTTGGGGCTCTCTAAGTCATTAGGCACACCATCTGGTAGTTGAGTTAC